CCATTGGTCTGTCACTCAGGACTTTAATCCCTCCTAGAGGTAAACTGCTCATCACCTGTCTATCCCTCTATCTTTTTCTCTCCTCTCTCTCTCTCAATCCCCCTTTTTCTCGCTCTCACACACACTCACTCACTCTTCTCTCTCTCTCTCTCTCTCTCTCCTCTCTCTCTCTCTCTCTCGCTCAATCCCCCTCTTTCTTGCTCTCTCACTCGCTCTCCCCCTCTCTCCCTCTCTTTCTCTCTCTCTCCCTCTCTCCCTTCTTCAGGAAAGAGCAATCTCCTTTCAATGTGAAGACAGGATGAGGGTCTGGGTTGGCTTCGGCGGGGATGAGAGACAGAAAAGTGAAAGGTGAGCTTTAACAGCTGCTTCGGTCTCTCATTGAGATTGTGGCTCCTTCTATTTGCAGGTGGCAGATCTCAACTAGCATCCACTTCCATTCCAAAACCAACCTTCAATCTTTTCACGTACATTTGCCTTTGGTTTTATTGATACAGGACTTGGTTGTGGTGATGATTATATCCTCAGAGGAGGAAGCGGCGGGATATCATTGGTATTCCAGAATGCCATGATGTCACCGCGCAGTCTCTTCTCAGAGTTCTACTTAAATCATCTCAGCTCAGGTTACCCAGAGTACACTGGGACTGTAAGGCAAGACTGTTGTGACTGCTTCCTGTTCCTGGGCATAGATGGAGGCGGGGGCTTAGAGGGTGGTGTCACTCATTCTAGAATCCCCCCGTAGGTCATTGGATAATTGGAGAGTGTTCTGAGATCATTCTAAAAATAAAAGTGTTTGAGGGGATGTTGATATGTGGTTTCTAACACCTGACACACAGACATAGACACACACAGGCGCACACACGCATGCTTACACGCACACACACACACACACACACACACACACACGCACACACGCACACACACACACACACACACGCACACACACACACACACCTTCAGATACCTCCCATTGCCAAGTTGTGGTATGTCCCTCAGACCTAGACTAGACTTGGGTCAAAACTCAACATAGTTTTAAATTGAGAAAATTATAGGAGTCAAGAGGTAACATTCCATTCCAATACCCTGGCTACCTGATCTGTTATGGGGTCAAAGGTCAAGTAATGAAATTCACTCCCCACCCCTGAGGGGACTTTAAAGGAAACCTGAGCGATTTATGTGTGTAGACACATTTGTTATGAAGCAGCAAATTCAGATCAGTCTGTAAAATAGGTTAAAGTGTTAGGGCTCTATTCAATCTGTATCGCTGAAGCGTTACAGATTGCGCAATAGAAATGTAAAGGTAATTTCGGATTGAGCCGACATATGCAGCGTTTACCGCAGGAACATTGCCTTTAGTTCACGCTGTAACGCTCAACTTCCTTGAATAGAGCCATTAAAAACACTTTACATTACAGTGTTGTTATTACTGGGTGTAACCAGTATTGGTTGATGCTAGGGTTAGGGTTGAACCGGGATGTGGAAGCTAGGGTTAGGGTTGAACTGGGATGTGGACGCTAGGGTTAGGGTTTAACCGGGATGTGGAAGCTAGGGTTAGGGTTGAACCGGGATGTGGACGCTAGGGTTAGGGTTGAACTGGGATGTGGAAGCTAGGGTTAGGGTTGAACCGGGATGTGGAAGCTAGGGTTAGGGTTGAACCGATATGTGGACGCTAGGGTTAGGGTTGAACCGGGATGTGGACGCTAGGGTTAGGGTTGAACTGGGATGTGGAAGCTAGGGTTAGGGTTGAGGCTAGGGTTAAACCAGGATGTGGAAACCCTGGCTTCATGGCCCCATCCCGGTTCAACCTTAACCTTAGCTTCAACCACAACCCTAACCCTAGCTTCATGTCCACATCCCAGTATAACCCTAACCAAGATTAGGCCTCTTGAATCCAACCATAGCACTTGATATCATATAGTCCCTGTAGCAGTGTGAGAAATTAGAATATCTGGAGGAAAACATGTCCATGGCAACACTGTGGTATTATGTTACCTCCTGCTGTCCTCCTCCCAGCACAGCACAGCGGCCTCCTTCTGACTCTGCAGGCATCTGCTCATATTTGCCTGGCTTTAGTGTTCACATCCACTCCAAGCTGGGGTGCGTGTGTATGTGTGTGTGAAGATAAACGCGTGTGTGCTTGCGGGAGAGTGTTTGTGTCACGTGTGTGAGCTCTAGAAAACACTCTTTAGCCCCTGCAGCTGTGCCTAAGAGCTGAGATGAACATGTGTGAAATGTGTGGAGTGCCCCCTCGCAGAGAGATTTAGACCTCACTGTGCACCCCACCCCCCTCCCTAACCCTTCCCTCGGACCCCCACATACCCCCACTGAGCAGCTAGCAGCGAGGGCCAGGCCAGCACAATGCCCAGCCAATGGCTTAATTATACAGGCCAGATTTACAGGCCTCCTGCCCAGCACCTGCTTGCATTGTTTCCCAGGATTTGGAGGATAAATCTCAAGATGTGGCTAGCAGTGATAAAATAGGAATGCAGCCCATTCCAGCCCAGGCTACGCAAGGCATCCCGTCGTAGTCAGACGTCCCACAGTTAAAGAGCTCCTCTTTTTCTGTTTGGGAAATCTCTGTGGCTTAGATGAAGAAATCAACTGACGAAGATCTGACAACATGAATACCCTCCTTCTCCTAAGGGGGTAGTGGAGGAGTTCTGGAGTTGCTGTTTGCTGAGACTGTCTTGATAAAAGCCTACTACAGCATGACATTTACATTTTAGTCATTTAGTAGACGCTCTTATCCAGAGCGACTTACAGGAGCAATAAGGGCTAAATGCCTTGCTCAAGGGCGCATCGACAGATGTTTCAGCTAGTTGATTCAGGGATTCGAACCAGCGTTACTGGCTGAACGCTCTTAACCGTTAGGCTACCTGCCGCCCCATACTTACTGTTTGACTGTAGAGAGGATTTGCGCTTTAACAATGCATACTTTCTAAGACTACAATCACCAACCCATTTATGCTTTTATATTATGCCGTAGTCAAATATGCCCTCACGCGTTTCTGAACTATCTTATGATAATAGTTTTATAACTGCATTATAATCACAGAGATTACATGTTTGAGCACATTCCATAGCCAGCCTGGGAGTGTAGAGTGAACAAGTAGCTCCAGGGGGCCAGAGGGGTTTTCCAGTCAGATCAGGTCCCAGAGAGCGTTAAAGAGGAAGGGACAGAGGGGGTTCTTTGTCACCCAGCCCTTGTTGGTGCCTGGGGGCCATATGGACGCCTGCCTCGGTCTGCCCTCACCCCTCAGACCCCCCTACGCCTGCCTCACCGAGCCCTCTCACCCCTCCTCTCTCTGAGGTCCGCATGAGTGAGTCATGGAGAGAGTGAAGTCACCCGTGTGGCGTTTAATCTGTCCGACACTGCAGCATCTCATTTCCGCTCAGAGGCCCAGTATGTGCTCTCTTCTCTTGCTCCCTCGGTCTCGCTCTCTCGCTCGCATTCAGACTTCCCCACTGACGCTAACCCACTACTCCCTCTCTCTCTCTCTTACTTTTTCTACTTCACCTCTCAATCTTTATCTCTATATATCTCATACTTTCTTCTAATTTTTTACATTGTAGTAGATGCTCTTATCCAGAGCGACTTACAGTTAGTGAGTGCATACATTTTTCATACTGGCCCCCGTGGGAAACGAACCCACAACCCTGGCGTTGCAAGCGCCATGGTCTACCAACTGAGCTACAGGGGACTCCTCTTTCTTCATCCACCATCTCTCCATTCTTTCCCTTGGTAATCTCCATGTTTTCTCTCTCACTCCGTGTATTTCTCTTGCGTTCTCTCCCGCTCTCTCTCAGAGATGGCATCTGACCCACAGCGTGACAACCTGGCAACTGCCTTGCACTATTCTCCCTCCCCTCCTCCCTCCCTCTTCTCCTCCCTCTTCTCCTCCCTCCCTCCCCTCCTCCCTCCACCTCCAATCTCTTTCATGGTAACCACCACCGGCTGTCACTGGTGACTATGGAGCTGTTTACCCACTCTCGACCTCTAATGGACCCAGTCCCTCTCCTTCCAGACTCCCCCAGGGAAGAGCAAACCTAGGTGCCCCCATAACAACCCAGACCAAACTCACCCTATTCAACCCCTAACTCATCACTGTCAATCTCAAACCCAGCCCCTGCAGAGGGTAAATTCTGGTAGTTCCAAATATTTTAGAAACAATTGTTATCTGGAATGTGCAATATTTGAAATTCAACTGTTGAGGTAAATTGTCCAAATAATTCAAGCTACTCTCGAAATAACCATGCCGTAAGTAAGGATCACAAATATAACTGCTGTATATAATTTCATGGCGATTAGTAACAGTACAATGGACATGCTCATTTAATCTCTACCATAGTGCTGAGAGTATCCACTGAGTGCTGCTGCTGCAGCATGGATCAATACTGTTTAATCAATATCAGGCGGACATGGAGTAATCAATATTTCATATGAGAACAGAACCATGAAACCAAAGACCCATGAAATGATTTCCTGCCGAGTTCAAATCCTTGGGTACTCAATGTATTTCATTACCAGGAGCTCTGGGGAACCAATGATGAACCAGGGAGGATGAGATTACACAGTAACCAGAGTTCACGTAGACAAACCTGTATGTGTGTGTGTGTGTGTGTGTGTGTGTGTGTGTATGAAAAACGAATTAATTAACTCTGAGGAAGCTCTCCCTTCACTGCATGTACCCACAAGCAAAACAAGATGCATACAGCGTTCTAAACAATTTACTAAAACCAAATCCAGTTTTTAATAGTGTACATAGAAAATATAAAGTGTAACAATTACATTTTCAATTGAATAGACACTTTTTGACACTGTATTAAATGAGTTGTGTGGGTGGTGGGCCACTGGTTTTAGGGAGCATCAGACTGAACACCAGGGTTGGGGTCAATTCCAAGAAATAAACTGAAATTCCAATTAAATAAACTGAAATGGAATTGACCCCAACCCTGCTGGTCACACAGGGTGTGAGATCAGGTGTCAGACTGAACAGTGGATGTCAGATGTCAGCCTTGTTGTCTGTGTCTGTCAGCAGCCCCATGTCCTTCAGGATGACCGTCTCCAAGGACAGGTAGTCCTCATACTCCTTCATGGCCTCCTCCAAGATCTGCGCCACCTGCTTCTCTGGTATGATAGGTTCCTGGGAGGGGGACAGACCAAGTAAACAGGCTTTGGTTCATCTTGGAAAAGAGGAGTTTTGAATAACAAGTTAAAAACAACCACAATCATATGGTGTTCAGTTTATTTCAACCCTTCAGACCAATTGTGAGACCTCTCACAACAAGCTCACAGAGACAGATTCCCAGCTGTTGATAGTCTTCCGTCATAGAGAAAATGTATAATTCTATCAGATTACTATCTCTCTGATCAGGAATTACTCTACCTTGTCAGAGAAATGCTAAGATCAGTTATATAAAGAAGGTCAACCCACCCATTGTATTGTCTTTCATAATATCCTTCTTTGGTTAAACCTAACCTCATTCAAAACATCCTGCTCATATTCAGAGTTTGTGGTCTCCCTAGCAACAGGCCAGGACTAGCAAGTACAAAAATTCAGCGTGTGGTGTGAGAAAGTGCGAGAAGATAACAAAGTTCATGTTTTTTATATATAATGGGCATTTTGAATTTCTGTTATCAGGGCCAGACGGGAGAAAATCTAAACACACACACATTTCTGAAAACAGTCATCACCGTGTCTGGTTTGAAATTCTTCAGGTCTGCGTCTTTGTAGCCTACTCGTAAAAGTATTTGGTCTGGATGGAATTTAATTTGTGTGTTTCTCTCCAATTGAGTGCAAAATAATAGGTTGGGAGACATGTCTGAATTGAATGTTGGTTGTTTACTCAAAAATAAATGTATTCACTAGCCTTAAGATAGTCCTCGATCATCTTGACATAAACCAGGGAATTAGGGGATATATTCTAAACTTTAATTTGTGCCATAACAGTAATTTTGTTCTGTCTGTTTGGGAGGAAAGACAGAATAGATATACATGAGCTCTGGGACAAATTCGCTATCATTGCTGCACAAAGATATAAAACCGTGTTTCAATCATAATCACAGTAATTTTCCCTTATTGCACTATGTAGATGGTGTATAGTTTAGATTGGGAGTAGACCTTCCATGGTGGGTGGCAAAGATAACTTAAATCTGATGATTTAGAATGAGCTTAAATGGTTACAGACTAAGTACTGTTTAATGAGAATGAGAGCATTTAAAGAGTGAATGAAAGGTCAATTAAACAAACTCAAAGGTTGCTCAGCAACAGCAACTATGCTCTCTAGAACCAAACTGGCAAGATGTTCTTTTGGGGTACACGAGGGGAAGAATACGTATTTTTTCCAGTAACCTTGGCTGAAATCACAGCCATAAGTTGCCCACTCAAGCATTAGATAATGGGTCTAGTGGTTATGTGAAACCAGTTAGCTGGTTTTGCAAGGAGTGCTTTCCTTAGCCTGAAATGTTTGATAAACCAGTTAACTAGTTTGGCAAGGAATGATTTCTTGGCCTGAAAGGTTTGATAACCGCTGTCCAGACATCTGCCTCTGATAGACTATTATGGAGTGGATGTGAATATTACAGATTGTATACCTCTCCTGCTGAGAATCAAATACCCAGCTATGAATTAGTCATGAGAGAGAACAGATTCCTGCTCCTCTCACACACTTGACTTTGCAGAATTGGACTGAGCACATCTAACTTTGGGTCAATTAAATCTGTTTGCAAGACTTACAGTGTGTAGCAGATTGTCACCTTCTGGCTCAAGATGTTGAGAATAACTTAGAAACAGGTACTCAGGAGTACACACACATTATGCATCAAGCAATCTGTTAGCAATCTGTTATGTCATGGCTGTCTTAAATGATTTTGGGAAAACAAAAATAAATTGTTTTTAAAATGTGCAGAGAGCCCAACTTTAAGCAGGCAATATGCCATGCACTGGCTTTAAACGTACGCACTAAAAACAGCAAAACTTTAGAGACAGTCTGTTCTGACCATGTGACATTAATTATACACAGATAATGCTTTCCATCAGTTAATAATCATCTCTATATACTGTATCTCACCATCTTCCTTCTCAGCTCCTCTGCCTCACAGTCTTTCTTCTCCTTGGCTCTCATCTCTCTCCTCTTGTCATAGTATACCAGCCTGTCCACCTCCTTCTCAAAGTACTTACTCATGCTCAGCTTCTACACACACACACACACACACACACACACACACACAGACGGAGGATGGTAGAGTTATATAAAACACAGATGATAACATTAAATACATTCTGTTGTCCTAGAGGCCACCTCCTGTACAAACCTCATTGCTGGAGGGGCTGCGAAGTGTCCATGGGATCTCCAGAATATGCAGAGTGCCCAGGTGATCAGACACAGCCAGGAGATGCTGCTTTGCTGTTTGTACAACAAACATAAAGTGAATGAGATTAATACAGAGCTTTCTGAATCCAACAATAAATGCAGGGATCCAGCAGCAGCAGCATTAGCAACATAGCCTGGTTCCATATCTGTTTGTGCTGTCTTGTCAACTCCTACGGTCACAATGACCATATGAGTTGGCAAGACAGCACAAACAGATCTGGGACCAGGCTGGCAGCATCAAGGTCAGGGGCAACTCACAGGAGACAATCCAGGGTTTGATGCATGTGATCTGGGTGGCAGTGATGTTCTGGGTCTGGGAGGGCTCGTGGGTCTTCTCCAGAAGGTCCCAAACATCAATGTTCCCGTCCTCCTTACCGATGAAGAACACAGCTGGACGTGACTGGGACCAGTATCCCACAGTGCACTTCTTCTGAGAACACGATGACTGGATGATGGGGCCGTTCTGAAAGGTTGTAGGTCACAACGAGTTCAAATGCTTAAAAACATTTTATAAGCCTTATCATAAAACCTTATAAAGGCTCATATAAACTTATAACACGTTATAATGCATTATACCGACATGGTTTAAGTTGTGATACCAAATGATCTGTTTGACCAAATGTTGTTATTGTTGTTACCATGACGCCCTCCTTCCAGATGGCGAAGGTCCACCCTCCCACGGTCAGAATGATGTCTTTAAAGAATGGAGACCGCCGAACAGTGTTCACCTGCCCATCATGGATTATAAACCGATGAGAGGGCTTGGCACCTGAGAAACAGACAGACAGAGAGAGACAGAGAGAGTGAGAGAGAGGGAGAGAGATTACCTCAGTTCAACCACATAGGAGATGAGCCACATGGAAAATTAGTCTGAGGTAGGTGTGTGTGTCTGAATGTTTCATCAAGATTTTAATCAACAGTGGTGCCGTGTCCAAGGGCCAGCATCTCCCTATTGGGATAAAGTAATAACGTTAAAGCTAAATAAACAGTCTACTGACCACTGGGAACACATATTATAGTATAATAATGTAATTTCCCCTGGGCACTTATGAACCATTTCCCCCTTACCATTAACTAGCATGCTGAGAGGAACGTACTTTATAGGTGGCAATTTACCATTAATGTACAAGCAAATAACCTCTGTCTACCCTGACGCTGTTGTGACACTAGACACAATTTATTATTAAGTAATCACATTCCTGTGCCCTGCCAAAACGAGATGAGGGAACCAAGTTAATCTCCTGTAATTGGCCATAAATTGCTGAATGGCTCAATACTTTAGTAGTGATACTATTGTTGTCTAGCAGCCATGATATTACATCTATTCCCCAGACAGTCAATGCCTTGTTTTGTTTCTTGACTGACTTCACTTTGTGGGCAACTGCCTCAAATCTCTTGTGCTTAAACAAACTATGATTAGGAGGAGAATGGGAGATACTGAAGGTATTGTTTGAGTCTCCATGGAATCTGTAGAGAGGTTACATTCATGATACTTAAGATATGAATCAAGCAACCAATCTCCCCAATTACTCAGAGCTCTAGAGGTTTAGGAGATTATTTATTTTACTTGGCTGTGAACCAATGGACGTGTTAACTGTAACACTATAATATCATTTAAACTATAGTGTTACAGTTAAGTCTCATCTATGATGATCTTACTGAACAGTCGTCCAGAGTCGTTGTCCTTCTCCAACTTCCAGTCTGTGTACACAAGCTCTCCGTCCTGAGGGCAAAATGTGGTAGAAAGAACAAGTTGCAGCTGAGTTCATAAAGGGAGTTTTTACCTTACTGTAACTAAGCCCCAGGATGGAGAGTTTACAGTTGGCATACAGTATGAATTGACCTGTGACTTGAATTGAGTTCATGAAAAGTATTAACTCCATAACTCATCAATGAAACTCATTCCACCTCTAGTAGTATGTACTTTTCAGTCACTTGATAATAGTTCCCCCCTTGGAACTTCCATCCTTCCATCCATATAATAGCTATGGAGAAGAAAAGCTATGTTACCTCGGTCCCTGCGTATAACTTGGTGCAGATGTCCTCCAGTGGTTTGAGTTGTTTGGCTGAAGGCACTCTGAGCAGGGCGTACTCTGGAGCAACCTCTGACCTCTCTGCATTCAGGTGGGCCCTGTCTGTCAGGGGTCAATAGTGGGGAAGCACGGAGTGAGCAGTGTTGTCATGCAGTTAAACATCATAGTTAGGTCATTTATTCCAGATAGCCTTTTGTAGCTCTTTAATGTCTATTACTGTCACGACTTCCTCCGAAGCTGCCTCCTCTCCTTGTTCGGGCAGGCTTCGGCCTTCTAGCCACTGCCACTCCTCATCTCATCATTCCATTAGTTTTGTCTTGTTTATTACACATATCCCCTCATCAGTACCTGTATAAGTGTTCCCTCTGCCACCTTGTCTTTGTGTGTGATTGTTTATTGTGGAGGATAGAGAAGCTCGGTGGAGCTCCGTGTATTTTGTATCGCCGGGATATTTCCCTGTGTGCCTTGTATTTTCCAGTGCACCTGTTTTGCGCACTGGATTGTTTTGACGAATTCCTGCGTAACTCTGTGTTTCAGAATAAAGCCTGTTATTCTGTGATTTACCCTCCTGCGCCTGACTCCTTCGAAATCACCTCATCACAATTACTATGTGAGTGAAACAGCCAGGACAGTTGACCGGAGAGCACGCAGGGTTCTGCAGCTCTGTAAGGCTTGGTACCAGCTCTGTCATCTGACCACCACCAGCAGGAGAGACAGGGAGAAGGAGGAGGAGGGGAGCGGCCTTTTCAGTGACAAAAGCCCCACTGTCTGCCGTGATAGTGCAGGACTCGACAGCGTGTTCACACCCCTTTATCAACATATTATATTAGCTATGTCTAGGGTATATCTGTCTGATCACTACACACTATTAGTTATAGGAGATGTAGGCTACTCATTATAACTTTGGTTAAGATCAAATGGCCAAAAAATGGGGTATACTAACAAACGTTCCAGTGATGACTGATGACATCATAGCGTCATTGATGACATGAAGATCATCACCTTCTACAATCTAAAACTAGTGTTCCTATTGGATTGGAGGATCATAGGGAGGAGTCTTTATGACAGGACAGGTAACACCTTCCAGTCAAGACTGTCTATGTTAGTTACCTGACCTTCCATTCTCTAACAGGGAAAGCCGCTACCCACCTAAACTCAAGACAGCTGAGCCTATTCATTTCACATATCATATCGAAACAGCCCAAAAAACGCCCCAAACATTCAGCACTTTTTGGGTTCAGTAACTTAGTGTATTAATTCCATAACCCTTATGAAAGCTGTGTGTATAAAGGCAGGTCTTAAAGCAGCAAGACAAAGGCAGGTTTTCTTCTTGATGTACCACCCGAGACACAGGAACATCTTTTGGCCCCAGGGGCTCAGCAGCATATTGCAAAGAGCTGACAGTCAACAAGGTTAATGCCCCCTGACTATGAGAGCCTTGTCTAGGTCTGGGACCGATCATTTAATAAAACAGTATGAAACCAGAGGAGAGAGGGGCGAGATGGGCGAAGGGAGAGATGGCCATGCCCCACTGATCATGGTGCTCACTGATCCAAAGTAGAATCTGAGACAGTGGCACACTCACACACATACACAAGCACGTCGTACGCAATGTACAGACACACACTCGCACACACTGACAAACACATCACACACTCCACAGACAGTACGTGCCCTGCGGGTCCATTACAAAGAGTAACCAGTCTCTTATATCTTTATCTCCTAAGATTCTTGATTTGAAGACAGATGTTGTTTTGGCTTCCTGCCTTTACAGTTTAGTGTTCCGCTCATCTGTGTTGCTTCAAGGGCTTAGAAGAAACGGGGGATGAAAATAGGAAAATAAAGAGTGACAGCAAGAGAAATAAACAGAGGGAAGGGAGATGCTCACCTGCATCACTGCCTGAAGGAGAAAGAGAGAGAGAGAAAAGGTAGAGGGAGAGAGAAGGGAAGGTAAATACTCACCTGCGTTGCTACCTGTATGGTTGTCACAGGTGTTGTCTCGCAGGCTGATTTTCAAAGGGCTGTACTCCCCGCTGGTATCGATCTTAGGCAGGGAAACCTGACACATGACAAGACGATAGCTTTGACATCTATCTAATCCCTTTAGAGAACTGTCAAACACACAGTACCTTCCAAAAATAGGCATTTTTCATATATATTTTTAAATGAGAGTGGAACACCACTCTCCCTTCATATTTTCTATGTGTAATTCAGACAGATTAGAAGTGGAGGGGAAGATTGAAATGTAGGTAAAGGGGTTGACGCGGGGACTGAACCTGGGGTCTGTTATAAATTAGTAATGCTACAGTATGTTATATGCCGTACCCTGACGAGTGGTTTCCATGTGAGGTCGAGGTGTTTGAAGGTGTTGGGAACACCGTGAGGATTCTCCAGGGGTTTCTCCTCCACCTTCTGTTTCCGCTGGTTAACCATGGTCTGGAGTACCCTCGGAGCACGGATATCCCAGAACATCACACAGCTGGTCAGGGAGAGACAGACAAACACAGGGTAAACTAAATTAACAAACAAAAACACAAACACACAAACAAAGAGACAGGACCTAACATTTGATAAATCAAAATTATAATCCTATTGTTTTTCATTCAATATTCATTAAAAATAATATATCAACGATTGCATTTAGTCAGTCATTTTATGTTTATGCCACTTTGTACCAATCAGGGGCGCAGGTGACGATCTGAACACATATTCCATTCTTGTTCTCCATCGGTACCCCCATTCTAGAGACCTTTTCAGAGTGAAAGAGAGAAAATGAATAAATATCTACTACACCACAGGTAGGCTATTTCAGTCCTTGTCACGGTGAGTAATGGGATCCCAGTTAGGGTTGAAACGTCCTAATAAAAGGGAGCACTTGGGAGCATAGACCACTGTGCGGCTGTGTTTTAGTTCTAGAGTAATCCCTCCCTCTACGGTTTTATAGCTTTAGCTCCCTTGGGACACTTTGATAATTGCCTGGTTTCACTTAAACCAACGACTGTCCGTGGATTGTTTTACCACACGCACGCTTCTTCAAACACAAGACAAAAGACACTTTATTAGGTAGTATAACGAATGACTGTTCACTCACTTCAAACACACGGCATACAAGTAGACGGAGGAAGGGATAACTTGATTACTATCCATCCGCATGTTTTAAACACCTCTTTCATAAAACGTCTATTTTTTTATGAAGCCATGTGAATGTAGCCTGGGTGTCAAGTCTTTTTCTGCTCTCTTGCCAACTCCTTATGGAATTGTCATGCTAAACATTACACTGGCACCCAGGCTAGTGTGAAAGGCATGTAGTGATATTATTACTAAGACAGCACTATATAGGGATCACGAAAAGTCACTTGAAGACCTAGTATTACCTGCTCTGACCTGTTAGGGAGGCTCGTGTTAACAGGATCCCTGACATAGAGATGATCTCTATGGTGCTTCCTGAGGTAGATGGACCATAGCAATGTCTAAAAAGCCTGTTGTGACATTCACCCTTGACCTCTCCTATACACCTATAAAGCTATTCCTATAGACCTTCTCTACTGTGGCTGCTTTCGCTGATCCACTATCTCAGATCCTGCTAAAATGAATTGTGTAACGGTCAAAGTGCTTTTAAGTCAGATTGGATCGTAAATTAAACAGGGTCATCATTCCAAAATTAGACTCAGAAATCATTAATGTGATAGGAGGACCTAGCTAACCTTTTTAACGTAAGTGTTTGAATATCAGTGTATAAATTAGGTGTGAAGGCTTAAAAGTGTCAGCTGTGTGCTGAGTTGAGTAGTTCTCACTGGACCCTGGTAGGTTGGTACTTTGTTAAGAGAATTTACTTTAGATCTCATAAGGTGGGAGCAGAGTGTTGAGACCAAAACTTTCAAGAATGTTTCATTTGGACAAAAACAGCAAAGTCAAATAGACAAGCACAAATCACATTAGTATTTTCCCATGGTAAGAATTCACAATCAAATAATTAGCTAATAAAGCATCTTAAAGGGATAGTTCAGGATTTTGGTAACCACCTCTAACTACTGGACAGAGAGAAATAAAAATGGTATTCACAAGTTCATTTAACTCTGGGGAAGTAGATAACGGGCGTCATTGCCAAAATCCCCAACTATCCCTTTAAAGCAGTGGTATTGAAAGTATACTGTAGCTTCTTTACGAAGAGCAATTTCTCAAGCAATAATTTAGCTAGGACTATCTGGGAATGGTCTGAGTGGGGAGGGGAAAACTGAAAACTATCTGACATTGGCAGAGAGGTTTGGAACTCTCTTTCTTATTGATCTATTAACTAATTTACCGCCTGTTGATATCACCAGACAGGCCAAAACTCCATCCCAACAGTTCTTACACTAAAAGGGCATTATCATAATTTTCACTGTATTATTCCAACCTCATAGTGTGGAAATATATATAAAACACAGGAAAATCATGTTTTTGACTGCACTGTGCCTTTAATATTCTGTCTCTAGATTTGGGGAAGGGTGGGGTCACCAGAAATTCTGGTTTAAAAAATGGGGTCCCCAGAAGTTCTGGCTAAGAAACTGGGGTCCCCACTGAAAAAGTTTGAATACCACTGCTTTAAAGTTTAGTCAAAAGACAAACAATTTCATAATGATTCAAAAGTATCCTGTCAAATTGCTCTCGTCATAAGGCATCAGCCTACCCTCACCCCGCTCTCATCCCCCTACAGTAACTCCCCTCACCCCCCTACAGTAACTCCCCTCACCCCCCTACAGTAACTCCCCTCACCCCCCTATAGTTACTCCCCTCATCCCCCTACAGTAACTCTCCACACACCCCTACAGTAACTCCCCTCACCCCCCTACAGTAACTCCCCTCACCCCCCTACAGTAACTCCCCTCACCCCCCTACAGTTACTCCCCTCACCCCCCTACAGTTACTCCCCTCACCCCCCTACAGTAACTCCCCTCACCCCCCTACAGTAACTCCCCCCACCCCCCTACAGTAACTCCCCTCATCCCCCTACAGTTTACTCCCCTCACCCCCCTACAGTAACTCCCCTCACCCCCCTAGAGTAACCCCACTCACCCCCCTACAGTAACTCCCCCCACCCCCCCTACAGTAACTCCCCTCACCCCCCTACAGTAACTCCCCCCACCCCCCTACAGTAACTCCCCTCATCCCCCTACAGTTACTCCCCTCACCCCCCTACAGTAACTCCCCTCACCCCCCTAGAGTAACTCCACTCACCCCCCTACAGTAACTCCCCTCATCCCCCTACAGTTACTCTCCACACCCCCCCTACAGTTACTCCTCTCATCCCCCTACAGTAACTCCCCTCATCCCCCTACAGTAACTCCCCTCACCCCCCTAGAGTAACTCCACTCACCACCCCCCTACAGTAACTCCCCTCATCCCCCTACAGTTACTCTCCACACCCCCCCTACAGTTACTCCCCTCACCCCCCTACAGTAACTCCCCTCATCCCCCTACAGTAACTCCCCTCATCCCCCTACAGTAACTCTCCACACCCCCCCTACAGTAACTCCCCTCATCCCCCTAGAGTAACTCCACTCACCCCCCTACAGTAAACTCCCCTCACCCCCCCTACAGTAACTCCCCTCCACCCCCCTACAGTAACTACGCTCCCCTCACCCCCCTACAGTAACTCTCCCACACCCCCCTACATGTAACTCCCCTCATCCCCCTACAGTAACTCCCCTCATCCCCCTACAGTAACTCACTCCCACCACCCCCCTACAGTAACTCCCCCTCATCCCCCTAGAGTAACTCCCCTCACCCCCTACAGTAACTCCCCTCATCCCCCTACAGTAACTCTCCACACCCCCCCTACAACCTCCCCTCACCCCCCTAGAGTAACTCCACCTGCACCCCCCTACCAGTAACTCCCCTCATTCCCCTCACCCCCCTACAGTAACTCCCCTCATCCCCTCTACAGTTCTCCCTCATCCCCCTACAGTTTACTCCCCTCCCCCCTACAGTACTCCCCTCACCCCCCTACAGTACTCCCCCCACCCCCCCTACAGTAACTCCCCCTCATCCCCCTACAGTTACTCCCCTCATCCCCCTACAGTAACTCCCCTCACCCCCCTACAGTACTCCCCTCACCCCCCCTACATAACTCCCCTCATCCCCCTACAGTAACTCCCCTCATCCCCCTACAGTTACTCCCCTCACGTCCCCCTACAGTAACTCCCCTCACCCCCTACAGTAAACTCCCCTCACCCCCCTACAGTAACTCCCCTCACCCCCCTACAGTTACTCTCCCCTCCATCCCCCTACAGTAACTCCCCTCACCCCCCTACATAACTCCCCTCCACCCCCCTACAGTAACTCCCCTCACCCCCCTACAGTAACTCTCCACACCCCCCTACAGTAACTCCCCTCATCCCCCTACAGTAACTCCCCTCATCCCCCTACAGTAACTCTCCACACCCCCCTACAGTAACTCCCCTCACCCCCTTACAGTAACTCCCCTCATCCCCCTACAGTAACTCCCCTCACCCCCCTACAGTAACTCCCCTCACCCCCCTACAGTTACTCCCCTCATCCCCCTACAGTTACTCCGTACCTCAAAGGTTTCCGGCAGCCACTGGATGTCTGTAATGGGTGCTTTGTGGCCATTCTCTATGCCTGAGACGGCACAGTAGCGCACCACAGGGGTCTCATTCTCCTGCTTGTCTTCAAAGCCCTGCTGGGGTGACAAACACACAGAACCCAAACGCAGGGTGTTAGTCCATATAATACAGAAACGCAACAGCAGGGTGTTGTCATACAATACAGCAACACAGGTGTTTAGTCATATAATACGAAACACAAACAGCAGGGTGTTAGTCATATACATACAGCAAACAGCAGGGGTTAGTCATATAATACAGGAACAGCAAACAGCAGGTGTTAGTCCATATAATACAGGAAACAGCAAACACAGGTGTTATCTCAATACAGAAACAGCAGGGTGTTAGTCATATATACAGGAACAGCCACAGCAGGGTGTTAGTCATAATACAGGAAACACAAACAGCAGGTGTTAGTCATACAATACAGGAAACAGCAAACAGCAGGGTGTTAGTCATACAATACAGGAAACAGCAAACAGCAGGGTGTTAGTCATATAATACAGGAAACAGCAAACAGCAGGGTGTTAGTCATACAATACAGGAAACAGCAAACAGCAGGGTGTTAGTCATACATACAGCAACAGCAAACAGCAGGGTGTGTCATATAATACAGGAACAGCAAACAGCAGGGTGTTAGTCATATCATACAGGAAACAGCAAACAGCAGGGTGTTAGTCATATAATACAGCAAACAGCAGGGTGTTAGTCATATAATACAGGAAACAGCAAACAGCAGGGTGTTAGTCATATAATACAGGAAACAGCAAACAGCAGGGTGTTAGTCATATAATACAGCAAACAGCAGGTGTTAGTCAATAATACGGAAACAGCAAACGCAGGGTGTTAGTCATATAATACAGAAACAGCAAACAGCAGGGTGTTAGTCATATAATACAGAAACAGCAAACAGCAGGGTGTTAGTCATACAATACAGGAAACAGCAAACAGCAGGGTGTTAGTCATATAATACAGGAAACAGCAAACAGCAGGGTGTTAGTCATATAATACAGCAAACAGCAGGGTGTTAGTCATATAATACAGGAAACAGCAAACAGCAGGGTGTTAGTCATACAATACAGCAAACAGCAAACAGCAGGGTGTTAGTCATACAATACAGCAACAGCAAACAGCAGGTGTTAGTCATACAATCCAGCAAACAGCAGGGTGTTAGTCATATAATACAGGAAACAGCAACAGCAGGGTGTTAGTCATATAATACAACAGCAAACAGCAGGGTGTTAGTCATAATAATACAGCAAACAGCAGGGTGTTAGTCATATAATACAGGAAAACAGACAAACAGCAGGGTGTTAGTCCTACAAACAGCAAACAGCAGGGTGTTAGTCATATCATACAGCAAACAGCAGGGTGTTAGTCATATAATACAGGAAACAGCAAACAGGCAGGGTCGTTTAGTTCATATAATACAGCAAAACAGCAGGGGTGGTGTGAGTCATATAAACAGGAAACAGCAAACAGCAGGGTGTTAGTCATATAATACAGGAAACAGCAAACAGCAGGGTGTTAGTCATACAATACAGCAAACAGCAAACAGCAGGGTGTTAGTCATACAATACAGCAAACAGCAAACAGCAGGGTGTTAGTCATACAATACAGCAAACAGCAAACAGCAGGGTGTTAGTCATACAATACAGCAAACAGCAAACAGCAGGGTGTTAGTCATACAATACAGCAAACAGCAAACAGCAGGGTGTTAGTCATACAATACAGCAAACAGCAAACAGCAGGGTGTTAGTCATGCAATACAGCAAACAGCAAACAGCAGGGTGTTAGTCATGCAATACAGCAAACAGCAAACAGCAGGGTGTTAGTCATATAATACAGCAAACAGCAGGGTGTTAGTCATATAATACAGCAAACAGCAGGGTGGCATACAGGCTCCATACCATAATAGCACTATGGAGGATACAGAGTGAAATACTTTATTGTCCCAGAATTGTCCTTTCTATTCTATTCTACTAAAGACAGAATTCAAATAATATTAGGTTAGTTGCTTTGTTAACAGTGGAAATTAAAACCAGAATGTGGTTTATATTATATACAGAAGGATTTTTCTTTTTTGCTCTAAAATGGTTTAGGCCCTAGAGCAGTGCATGTGATTTCACTTTGCACTTTGGCCACCGCTGTCGTTGGCTCTGTTTCTCATTAAGACTGAGATCACTGGCTGATCGGAAAGAGATGTAGACTTAGTAGTATAGGTGCATGTTTGGAGTGTGCTGTATATGTTACTGTTTGTGCATGTCTACTGGGTTATGGCACCCTTTTCCCTATATACTGTAGTGCACTACTTTTGACCGGGGACCATAGGGCTCCTGAGGCACTGCATCTCAGTGCTTGAGGCGTCACTACAGACCCTCTGGTTCGATTCCAGGCTGTATCACAACCGGCCGTGATTGGGAGTCCCACAGGGCGGCGCACAATTGGCCCAGCGTCGTCCGGGTTTGGCCGGTGTAGGCTGTCATTGTAAATAAGAATTTGTTCTTAACTGACTTGCCTAGTTAAATAAAGATACAAATAAAATAAAATAAATAGGGCTCTGGTCAAAAGTAGGGCACTATGTAGGGGATAGGGTGCCATTTGGGATGCAAACTATGTCACGTGTTTGATTTTGATCTACAAAAGGTGTGAATATGGCAGGTTAAGACATTCATATGCTCCCTTAAAACCATCCAGGGTGTTTCAAAGGTAGTAACATGTGCTAGTAGAGGACATCTTTAGCTGATAGAACTACCATTGTTTGTTCTGCAAACACATAGCTGTAATCAGATGTGTGTTATGTCAGCCGCGTGTGTGTGTTTGTGTGTGTGTGTGTGTGTGTTATTGGCCGTGACAGACCTATCAGGGGCATAGAGGGGTTAGGTAACAGCTGGAGTGTGGTGTGTGTTGGTGTTGTTGACTCTGGATACTGGATGTTGACTCTGGAGTGAACAGGGGGAAGGAAGATGGAGGCAGCTGCTAGCATATCGTACCAGGGTAATAAACAAAGAACAAACATAGATAGAGACTAATTAAGGTTGGATTATAGGGCTGTGACGATACCATTATCGCAATATTTTTTCCACCGCAAAAATGAAAACATGAAGTTGACCAAACTCTTTGGTCCTTTAAAAACCTGTTGTATGTAAAATATTGTGTGCTACAGCTTGGAAAATAAATCAATGTGACTCTGGATGACAACATCATGATGTTTGTTTCCAACATTAGGGCTGTTTTCCTAAAGAAGTTAAATCCGCTTCGTGTTTTGTTTCCTTGCCATGATACTAATGAGTATTGCGATACTGGTATCATCCCAGCCCTATTGGATAGGGGACGGAGGCGGCAGGCAACGGCTCAGGTTTTATGCTTACTAGTTAGGGCTGGTTTTGCCAGGGCATAGGGTAAGGTTAGGTCAGAGATGGTCTATAATGTTGTAGTGATGCTGCCCTTGTAACAGGCTTTGGTTTGGTCTGGCATGAGTTGAGCTTTGTGGGGCTAAGCTGCCTAAGTATATGGGTTAGGTCTGGCTTGCTGTGATCGCCAAGGTTGGCTTGAAAAGGACCATCAGGACCGCTGCATTCCCCTTTAATTAAAGGCTGAGGATGAAGAGAAACCCGGCAAGCCAACGTGTCATCATCTCACTGTGTCACAGGGCTTTAACTCTAACACTTAGCCTAGAACTGGGGATCTAGATTGAAGCGAATATTATGAACCAGAATTGTGACCCCTCATAGACTTGCAATGACCTCATCTGCAGAAGTATGCCATTGGGATGGAGTCAGTGTGATCAGGACAGAACGTTGCGTAGTACTTACTAAAGCGTTGGTGTTTGCTGCGATGTTCTTTCCACCGCCGGTGCGTGTGCCCTGTAATCGTTCTACGTGGGCGGATATATCCCATAACACAACCTGAGATGAAAACAACACAAAGAAGTTTATTACTCAGGATAGATCAACACCTACACATTCTCCCCCTCTCATAAAACCCTCTCCATTTAACGTATTAGAAAGGCTTCACTTTTATATGACGACTTTATGAAAGAAAACCAGAGAAAACAAAGGAGGATAATGTCTAAAGAGGATATAAATAACAAGGAGAGAACGAAAACAGCTGTTTATCTGTCTTATCATATTCCCCAGTGAGGCCAGTGAGACCAGTGAGACCTGGGACGGAGGACATGGGAAATGAAATTTACTCCTGAGATGGTTATATAATACAGCCTCATAAGAAAAACTCCACAGTGCTGACAGTTAGTGGGCACTGAAACAGAGACAGGTAGGTAGGGAGGGAGAGAGGGAGAGGGAGAGAGGATGATGGAGAGGGAGGAGGAGGGGGGAGAGGGAAAGGGAAGGGAGAGAGAGGGGAATACGTGGGCGGTTATATCCCATATTCCATAACGCAACCTGAGATGACAACAGCACAAAGAACCTGAGCGAGAGAGAAAGTAGTTGAGAGAAGTATTAACATCAAGAGAGAAGAAAATGTGTCAGCAGCACTAAAGAGAGGGCAGTAGAAAGATGTTAAGTTAGCAGTAAAGAGATGGAGAGATAGGAGAGAGAGAAAAAGAGAGAGAGAGAGATGGAGTCAGCACCTGGCCATTCATGCAGCCGCCAACAATAATATTTGGGTCGGAGGGGCAGAACTCAAACGAGAAGACGTCGTCTGGGCACTCCAACAGCAACTGCAAACAGCAGAGAAAGAGAAACCCACAGCGTTACAGTGGCCTGAGGCATTACATTTCAAAGCAGAGCGAGACTTTCAAGTACTAGGGTCCCTGCCATCGAATGTATTTATTTATTCTATTCTAACAAGTGTAGCACTGAATTTGGTCTATTCCTAACAAGTGTAGCACTGAATTTGGTCTATTCCTAACAAGTGCAGCACTGAATTTGGTCTATTCCTAACAAGTGTAGCACTGAATTTGGTCTATTCCTAACAAGTGTAGCACTGAATTTGGTCTATTCCTAACAAGTGCAGCACTGAATTTGGTCTATTCCTAAAAAGTGCAGTACTGAATTTGGTCTATTCCTAACAAGTGCAGCACTGAATTTGGTCTATTCCTAACAAGTGTAGCACTGAATTTGGTCTATTCCTAAAAAGTGCAGTACTGAATTTGGTCTATTCCTAACAAGTGTAGCACTGAATTTGGTCTATTCCTAACAAGTGCAGTGCTGAATTTGGTCTATTCCTATCGAATTTGTTTATTTTATCTGCTGAAAATGTATTGCAGTATTTTTTTAAATCCCTAAACCACCTCATATACAGTACTTTATAATGGCTCTATTATCCTTGGGTAAATTCAACTGTTCAACTCAATTTTAATTAATTAAGAGGCTCTTATTTCAACTTAACCAAACAAAGGCTTTGAATGACAGTTCAAAGCAACTCCTAAAGCCATTCTCTTTTTAAGAGAGCTTGTCTCAAACAGATCTGATGTGAGTCGAGGGTGAGAAGAGAGATATTGCTTGTAAGCTGTCAGTGAGGATTTAGCAAGAGAGAGAGCGAGAGAGAGAGAGAGGTAGAGGGGAATGAAATGAAAGAGAAGACTTACCATACCATACCTGTGGGTTGATGGGATCAGAGAAGCTCCAGAAGAGAATGAGGGAGGGGTTTAGGAGCAGCTTAGTGGAGCCATTGATCCTGTCCTCGAAGGACAGCCTTTCTGTCACAGCCACCGCTATCACACCTAAACACAGCCAACCACAACCACAACCACATATTCTTTCTTACTATGTTTAATATGGATTGTGTCTGTGTACCAATCTGTATGTGGATGATGTTGGCTGTATATTCTGTCTGTATATTCTGGTTATTATGGTTAGCACTATTTCACCAGGTCAAATTCTAGGCACATGTAAATGTACTTGGCAAATAAAGGTGATTCTGATATCAACACTGTCATAACGTTACAGAACCATACAGAAACTACCTTCAGAAACTACCACAACCACATATACAGTTGAAGTCGGAGGTTTACATACACTTAAGTTGGAGTCATTAAAACTGGTTTTTCAACCACTCCACAAATTTCTTGTTAACAAACTATAGTTTTGGCAAGTCGGTTAGGACATCTACTTTGTACATGACACAAGTAATTTTTCCAACAATTGTTTACAGACAGATTATTTCACTTATAATTCACATTCCAGTGGGTCAGAAGTTTACATACACTAAGTTGACTGTGCCTTTAAACAGCTTGGAAAATTCCAGAAAATGATGTCATGGCTTTAGAAGCTTCTGATAGGCTAATTTCAAGGCCTACCTTCAAACTCAGTGCCTCTTTGCTTGACATCATGGGAATATTAAAAGAAATCAGCCAAGACCTCAGAAAAAAAATGTGTAGACCTCCACAAGACTGGTTCATCCTTGGGAGCAATTTCCAAACGCCTGAAGGTACCACGTTCAACTGTACAAACAATAGTACGCAAGTATAAACACCATGGGACCATGCAGCCGTCATACCGCTCAGGAAGGAGACGCGCTCTGTCTCCTAGAGATGAACGTACTTTGGTGCGAAAAGTGCAAATTAATCCCAGAACAACAGCAAAGGACCTTGTGAAGATGCTGGAGAAAACGAGTCCTATATCGACATAACCTGAAAGGCCGCTCAGCAAGGAAGAAGCCACTGCTCCAAAACCGCCATAAATAAGCAAGACTACGGTTTGCAACTGCACATGGGGACAAAGATCGTACTTTTTGGAGAAATGTCCTCTGGTCTGATGAAACAAAAATAGAACTGTTTGGCCATAATGACCATCGTTATGTTTGGAGGAAAAAGAGGGAGCTTGCAAGCCGAAGAACACCATCCCAACCGTGAAGCAGGGGGTGGCAGCATCATGCTGTGGGGGTGCTTTGCTGCAGGAGGGACTGGTGCACTTGTCAAATGGACAATGACCCCAAGCATACTTCCAAAGTTGTGGCAAAATGGCTTAAGGACAACAAAGTCAAGGTATTGAAGTGGCCATCACAAAGCCCTGACCTCAATCCTATAGAAAATTAGTGGGCAGAACTGAAAAAGTGTGTGCGAGCAAGGAGGCCTACAAACCTGACTCAGTTACACCAGCTCTGCCAGGAGGAATAGGCCAAAATTCACCCAACTTATTGTGGGAAGCTTGTGGAAGTCTACCCGACACGTTTGACCCAAGTTAAACAATTTAAAGGCAATGCTACCAAATACTAATTGAGTGTATGTAAACTTCTGACCCACTGGGAATGTGATGAAAGAAATTAAAGCTTAAATAAATAATTCTCTCTACTATTATTCTGACATTTCACATTCTTAAAATAAAGTGGTGATCCTAACTGACCTAAGACAGGGATTTTTTTTTTTTACTAGGATTAAATTTCAGGAATTGTGAAAATCTGAGTTTAAATGTATTTGGCTAAGGTGTATGTAAACTTCCGACTTCAACTGTAACCACTGTCAAAACCATACACATGTATTTTATACCATTCCACTCATTCTGCTCCAGCCATCACCACGAGCCCATCCTCCCCAATTAAGGTGCCTCCTGTGACATAGAGTCATTGAAAAGTGGTCACTTTAATAATGTTTACATCCTGTTTTACCCACTTTATCTGTATATACTGTATTCTAGTCATGGCTCCTCCTAAATAACTTATTTTGAAATGTTTCTGTATTATGCGTGTATTGTTATTGTATTGCTAGACATTTCTGCACTGTTGGAGCTAGTAGAAACACAAGCATTTCTGTGCACCTGCGATAACATCTGCAAATCTGTGTAAACGACCAATAAACTTTGATTTGATTGTAACACCCATACAGTAACTGATGATGATAAGTATTCTGTATGTTCTGTTCAGTGGCAGAACATTCCTGTTCCTTCATTTTGACAGACAGTCACCCCTGTTTATTACGGTCTGTCTGCTAAATGTAAATGATTGCACTGATCTTTTTTTGGGCCACAGTAACAACCACTCATAACCACACTCACACTGCAGACCCTTTAATACAGTAGGTGCCTGTAATGTTCCCCTGTGTCCGTGTTCCTCATATAAATATAATGACTCCCTCCTGGTTAATGGGGACACTTCCTGCTGTACTTCCACTGGCCAACCCATTAAAGCCTCATTGACTTGAATGGGAACGCCCCTTCTAGTAACTCTATTTCTATGGTGTTCCCGTCCCTCACCGTTGATGGTGGGGTGCCAGTTGATGTTGCTGATGGTCTTCTCCTTGCTGAAGTGTAGGTCAGTGAAGGACTGGTACTCCTTCAGGTGTGGGTCAACCTTCCGTCCGTAGCCACTGTCCTCCTCACTCAGGGCCTTCCAGTCGTCAAAGAACACATCCATGATCTCATTCTGCTGGATGGCTATCTCAAACCTGGGAAGTTAATTGAATAAAGAACACACACACCCTTACAGGGCGTATACACTCGAGACGGCATCGCGCGGTGAAACAACGGCTTCCCATTCATTTTCAATGGAAGGAAAGTGGTGAGAAGCGGAGTGGGCGGGGGGGGGGGGTCATTGGGCGATGCGAGCATGGGCGAGGGAGCTGAACAGGGCGGGACTAAAGTTGGGCAAAGCTGAACTTTATGCAAATCTACGGCGATATCGCGGCACAAGTAACCAATCCAAGCGCACCATAGCTTCCAACCCCTACTGAATTGGCTGACAATGGCTGTTGATACGTAGCACTACGTAGCATGCTTGCTAGCTTATTAGCACCCACATGAGGGCGGCCATAGCGTGGCTAGGCGAGTTACTGCTGTACAGTATAAATTGATTTTTGTGACGTTGTCAGCTAACCCATCTATAGTATATCTCGGCCGTCAGGTGAGGTGCTGACTAACAAAAGATAAACTTTTTTTTTTTTTTTATGTAAGTGATACTCTCATGCCGTCTCTATTCAGCTATTACATTCCACTCCTTGCCACTCCTGTCATTTGCCAAATATTCAGGACTGGCAAGGAGTGGAATGTTAGCTAAAAAGACTGGTAACCAGATTAGTCTGATGTACAGAACGGGATGGAATGTAGAACACAGTGGGTCATGTAATAGATTGATGGTATACAGATAGGATAGGACTTTATCGGGTATTAGACAATGAAAGTTTATTTTAGTTTGACTTTAAAAACAGAGCTTAGATATTGAGCAGAAAAGATACATCAGCACAAAACATGGAGAATTGCCAGAAGAAAAGTTAAGTCTCCGTAAATTACTTTGTGTATATCTTAATCAGGTCTTGGCTTTCATAATGTATGAGAGTGGATTCCTCAAGGCCTCAAGGCTACACTATAATGTATAACTCTGGGTTGGCTTCCAGTCATTCCATGCATTAAAACGCTCCCCTTGAGTCCCAGAGACTCGACCGCATCCATCATTTAAATGATCCCTTACCTGGAGGCCACCAAGTTGATGAAATTCTTCAGATTGTCAGATTGGAGGCAGTTGTTTTTCTCCTCCTGCCTGAACTCTCTGGGTTCGTACTGCGTGCACATACTCCTTGGATATGTCCTATGGAACAGAACAATACTGGAGAAAGTAGGCTAACTTTTGCTTCAAGGTTAAATTCAGATCATATTCCAGTACAGGGTATAGTCATTCTACAATGATAAAGCATTTGGTTGTTGTTGTGTTAACACATGTACGGTATTATCAGCAATAAAAAAAAGTAATGAATCATTATAACACATCCAACATTGTTAGGTACTGCCACTGGGGACTAGTAGCTACAGGACTGTACCATGCACTATTTTCTTCCCCTGTTCTACCCTGTTGTAGTTAGAACATGACCTACCATTGTGTTTGGGTGCTGGAGCTCTTGAGGTTGGGGATAGCCTGCACCCCAGTGTGTCTCTCCATCTGCTTGAGGCTGAAGTTCTTGTCCTGGTAGGGGGTACATTCAATGAAGCCATCCTTGGTCTCCGTGGCATTACGTTCAGAGAAGAAGATTGGCGCCCCAAACTCCCTCCGCACCCTGGAGATCCTATACTTCAACTGAGAGGGAGGAGGAGAAAAAAGTATGAAAGAGAGAGATAGATAGATGGAAGCTACTTAACATGTCAGTATTGTATAGACATGATCATTACAGAACGTAGTTAATAGATCATTACCTAATTCATTCAGAACAATAATTGAGTAACAATTCTATTTTCTGTTTTGATTATTGAATTCTATTTTTTAGGGACCTAAATGTTGTTCCGGTGTTTTACCCTGGGTCTGGAGTCAGTGACAGACTCCTCCTCTACCTCCTGTTCGCTGCCCAAAGAGATCCAGGGCTGGGGTTCAGAGGTCTTCTGTGCTGCAAACACCTCAGACGGCTCCCGCTCCAAAGCTACCTCAACTCCCAACGCCACTACAGGCTACATGGGCCAGACATACAGACAACATTGTAATGAGTAATAGGGATTATATTGAAGACATGAATGATATTCTTCTTTAGATGTTTTGAATTTGAATCATTACTTTCTTTACTTATTTTATAATCACGTTATCATTCATATACAGTAGTAAAGGGTGTTTGTCTCCTAGTATGTCTGTGAGGACAGACACTGGGAGACGAGAAGCATGTACAGGGAGTGAACATTTAATATATACAGACATAAAACAAAACACGGACAGCGTCTGGACAGGGGAAACATAATGACATTAATGCTGACATGGGGATCAAACTGAGGAACAGACAGATATAGCGGAGGTAACCAAGCAGTGATGAAGTTCAGGTGAGTCCAATGAAGCGTTGATGTGCTTAACGATGGTGACAGGTGTGCGTACTGGTGGGCAGCCTGGCGCCCTCGAGCGCCAGGGAGGGGGAGCGGGAGCAGGCGTGACAATGTCACAGAGTACTGTTTTTAAAACGTTTTTTTTCTTCTTCTGAAGAGCAGATTATTGGCGCTAAATTGACTCACCTTTAGGTGCCTTTCCTTGGCCTCAGCTGTTAGAACCAGGTAGAAGCTGGATCCGTAGATAAAGTCACTGTCGTAGACCAGGAGGAGCTCATCTTCAGGGTAGTCCTGTTATATCACATAGGACAGAGGGCATTGAGAGCACAGTACACTGCACACACAGAGACTAGCAGGTTGGCATAACATGTAAGAACAATTTGACAAAATAAATAAATAATAATAATAGGTCATAATAATTGTTTACTCTAAACCTTTAAAATGAGTGTCATTGTGAGTGAAACATTAACCAGTAGATCATTTACAAGAGCTGGGGGGTCTGGGTCATTGAGAACCTGAATTGTTGTCTCAAGGTCTTAGAGAGGACAAACAACCACCCACACATTACCATGGAAACAGCACTACCCCACAAAGCGGAGTGATATTTGATGATCTAGTCTAGTGATAAGAGAAACACCAAAAAGCACAGGAACGGTGGATGCTGGGTGGAGTTAGAAGAGTGAGATAGATGGTCTTTATCTATTTCACTCAATCAGAGATCAGGTCCCAGATTTGTTTTTGCTGTCTTGCCAACTCTTATGGTTAAAGACAGCATAAACAGATATGCGACCAGGCTAGGAACTGAGGCAGTGTTTTTTTAACCCAGAACCCTCAACCTAAACATGAGGCCTGTGAATCAACCATCATATTGGTTGGGAGGATATTACATTTTATATTTACATTTTTGTCATTTAGCAGATGCTCTTACAGTGGGGAAAAAAGTATTTAGTCAGCCACCAATTGTGCAAGTTCTCCCAATTAAAAAGATGAGAGAGGCCTGTAATTTTCATCATAGGTACACGTCAACTATGACAGACAAAATGAGGAAAAAAAATCCAGAAAATCACATTGTAGGATTTTTAATGAATTTATTTGCAAATTATGGTGGAAATTAAGTATTTGGTCAATAACAAAAGTTTCTCAATACTTTGTTATATACCCTTTGTTGGCAATGACACAGGTCAAACGTTTTCTGTAAGTCTTCACAAGGTTTTCACACACTGTTGCTGGTATTTTGGCCCATTCCTCCATGCAGATCTCCTCTAGAGCAGTGATGTTTTGGGGCTGTCGCTGGGCAACACAGACTTTCAACTCCCTCCAAAGATTTTCTATGGGGTTGAGATCTGGAGACTGGCTAGGCCACTCCAGGACCTTGAAATGCTTCTTACGAAGCCACTCCTTCGTTGCCCGGGCGGTGTGTTTGGGATCATTGTCATGCTGAAAGACCCAGCCACGTTTCATCTTCAATGCCCTTGCTGATGGAAGGAGGTTTTCACTCAAAATCTCACGATACATGGCCCCATTCATTCTTTCTTTACACGGATCAGTCGTCCTGGTCCCTTTGCATAAAAACAGCCCCAAAGCATGATGTTTCCACCCCCATGCTTCACAGTAGGTATGGTGTTCTTTGGATGCAACTCAGCATTCTTTGTCCTCCAAACACGACGAGTTGAGTTTTTACCAAAAAGTTATATTTTGGTTTCATCTGACCATATGACATTCTCCCAATCCTCTTCTGGATCATCCAAATGCACTCTAGCAAACTTCAGACGGGCCTGGACATGTACTGGCTTAAGCAGGGGGACACGTCTGGCACTGCAGGATTTGAGTCCCTGGCGGCGTAGTGTGTTACTGATGGTAGGCTTTGTTACTTTGGTCCCAGCTCTCTGCAGGTCATTCACTAGGTCCCCCCGTGTGGTTCTGGGATTTTTGCTCACCGTTCTTGTGATCATTTTGACCCCTCGGGGTGAGATCTTGCGTGGAGCCCCAGATCGAGGGAGATTATCAGTGGTCTTGTATGTCTTCCATTTCCTAATAATTGCTCCCACAGTTGATTTCTTCAAACCAAGCTGCTTACCTATTGCAGATTCAGTCTTCCCAGCCTGGCGCAGGTCTACAATTTTGTTTCTGGTGTCCTTTGACAGCTCTTTGGTCTTGGCCATAGTGGAGTTTGGAGTGTGACTGTTTGAGGTTGTGGACAGGTGTCTTTTATACTGATAACAAGTTCAAACAGGTGCCATTAATACAGGTAACGAGTGGAGGACAGAGGAGCCTCTTAAAGAAGAAGTTACAGGTCTGTGAGAGCCAGAAATCTTGCTTGTTTGTAGGTGACCAAATACTTATTTTCCACCATAATTTGCAAATAAATTCATTAAAAATCCTACAATGTGATTTTTTGGAGAAAAAAAATCTCAATTTGTCTGTCATAGTTGACGTGTACCTATGATGAAAATTACAGGCCTCTCTCATCTTTTTAAGTGGGAGAACTTGCACAATTGGTGGCTGACTAAATACTTTTTTTCCCCATTGTATGCAGAGCGACTTACGGTAGTGAATTCATTCATTTTCATACTTTTTTCGTACTGGTCCCCCGTGGGAATCGAACCCACAACTCTGGCATTGCAAGCGCCCTGCTCTACCAACTGAGCCACAGGGGATTGCCTGTTTGCTTCCTCTGTATAACAACAACAACAACGCCATAGAGATCAGCCTACCAGCACCAGCTGCTTCACAGGGCTGAAATCAGACACAGCTGCCCTCATCCTCATGTCATGCACCATGTCCTCTTTCCTCAGGATCTTGTAGGGGTTGTCCCCGGTGACGTCCTCGTCACAGCGACACCCAAACAGCTCCTGGGTAGCCGAGGTCAACGTCAAGGGGAAGATGTCATTAGGATGACCTTGAAGTGAGGGGGACAAAGGTCAGACTGTTTAGGGAATTTGTCCAATAAGAACACATATTTCTGTTTTCCGTTGCAATACATTTTGCTATGCTGTGCCCTACCCTCGAGAGTACCTCCAATACTCAGTTGCAATAACAAGAAAAGATAAAAGACAAAAACGTACAGCACTGTTCTTAATTGTGTTTTATCTGATTGTAAAAAAGTATGATAATACAAACATCATCACCAGCCTACAAACAATCAAAACAACAACATGACTCCAGTAACCACCGAGTAACGCCATGTGTATAACACCAGAGCACGACAGTATTCACTTTGAAGCCTTTTGGTAAACAGGCTAGGAAGCTTCTCTTGTATACTTGCTAAAGTAAACTTATCTTGGACCTAAACACAGGCTTACAGTGCATTGCATGCTATAGTAAACAGGGCTTTGCATAATTATAGCTCTCATCCCACCTGTGGCCTGCATCAAAGCCTTTCCACAGGGTTGAGGCTGAGGAGACCCAGAGAATGCTGAAGTACAACTTAAGTAACCACTTCCCAACTAGGTGTGTCTTCCCTTTTGTATCCAGACCGCCAGGGCCCATGCCAAATCATTGTAGTGGAAACTCACACCATTCATTTACAGTGGGTGATGTGTTAAACATTCCATGTGGTACTTATGGAAAATATGTTACGGTTTAGTGATGATGAGAGGTTAAATGTAACATATGAAAAACAGCTGCCGTCCCCCTTTCAGGTAAAATCCATAAAAAAGTGTTTGTGAATCATATTGTTACCACCAACACCACATATTTTAAATCCAGTACATGTATTGGAGTTTGTCTAAGTCATCTCTTTAAATGACAGAAGATAGACCAAGCATATAGCTCCAACTATGCTCCAGAGCATCTCCAACACATTACATTCAATAGGGCTGTGTCATACTGTATCAGCTGGGACGACCCTCCCAAGTGCATAACGCTATCATGTTCCCTTTACATGAAAGCCGATGACCTAATCTAAAGTAAAAAGATACCCATTTCCTTCTGCTGGTCTGGCCGGCATTTGTTAAGACTTATAATTGAGATGGAAAACCAAAGCATGTTTGCAGGGGTGGCGCTGAAATACATGAAAGCAGCTCTCCCTCTGACAATGAAGGTATGAGATTGAGTTGTAGAGAAATATACCAGTGGTCATGTGTATGTCCACAGGGTTTGCAACAGTACACCCACGCTCACATCAAAAGCATGCATAGGGTATACAGGTTTCCTCCCACAAAGAGACAGCGCTGATGAATATATCATGTTATCATATTACATCACCGTTTGAGAGTCAAATAGGCTCAGGCCTTAGGCTTCCTCTGGCATCTTCTGTCCCTGTCTGAGTGAATGACATGTACCCTAGGGGCCAGCCCCTCTCACACAGATGGAAGCAATCAAATACGGGCTTGTCATTCAATCAGGAGGGTACTTTGCCGAGAGCTGTTGTTCTCTGTCTTGTTTGTTGTGGAACAGGAACACATTAGTGTACTGTGTTTCTTTCTGCTACGATGGTAATGTGATGAGAGACCAGATGTAGATCATGCTGGTGTTTGGCAGACACACCCGATTGTTCACAAGAGGGGAATTAGCTCCTTAGGACTAAGTTGTAAGGCAGTCAGGCTACAGTCATATTCTACTATGGCGGAGGCTGCAGTAATTAAGGAAAATTTGTTTTCACACAACCCTTTGTGTTAGGGACCAGGATTGGGTAGGTTAATTTCTAAATGTAATCCATTACAGTTACCTGTCCAAAATTGTACTCAGTAACGTAATCTGATTACTTAAAGTTACGTTTGGATTACTTACCCCTTAAGAGGCGTTAGAAGAAAACGGAACGGATCCATCAAAGGCATTTGGTGTGTCAACATAGTGATGCCTGACTTGTGGTCAGACTTGCTCAGGTGGAACAAACTTTAACTTGCAACTTTTTTCAATGCTGAATTAAATGTCATTGAGAAAACAGTCATAATGTATTTTTTCCCCCAAAACATCCTTTCTGAATTTAAAACTAATCCAAGAAGTAATTATCTACTTTTTCAAAAGTATCTGTAATCTGATTACAATATTTTTGCTGGTAGCGTAACTGATTACAGTTACAGTTTTTTTTCCTTCTTCAGATTACATGTAACTGATTACCCAAACCTTGTTATGGACCCATCGCCGGCCTATTCAGAAAGCAGAGTTCAGGTTGCTAATAGTTTATGGAATTTCATGGGAATCAGCAGAGGATATGTGTCAGCGGTCTACATTTCCGGAGCAGTCAAAAACCCAGGGAATTCACTGAACTCATGCTGGGGTAGTTTCCACTTAATGTTCTATATCTAAGTGTTAGCCATTGCAGTATCATACGTTTGATATACAGCAAATGAGCCAGGAATTTTGAGGAAAATGTCTGATTAAATAGTTATATAATGCATCAAAAAATCTTACCAGACCCTGCCACACTTCCTGCAGGCGACTCATCAGCCTTTTTGTCTACATGGATTCAAAACAGCAGAAAATGTGAATTGTCATACTTGATGTACTTTTATTTTACTTTTCATTTACATTTGCATTAGTATCATTAAAATGAGGAAAATAAACATGACAGGTGAAGTATGATACAAAAATGTCAGATGTACTGAAGGGATCATACACACCTTTCCCCTTACTGCCCACACTGGTAGTGGCTGTGCTCTTGGGTCTCTTTGTGGACATTACTGCAGTTAGGCCTAATCACAGAGATATTTGCTGTGGAACATTAAGATATTGAGAGTTACTGTACTGTATCAAGCTGCCGTCTACACATACTCTCTTTTGTCTATAAATTAGATGTGTCTAATCTAAAAAATGTAAAAACATCTATGGAAATGGAGTGAGGCTTGTTCACATGTCCTCACTGTGATTTTCAGCCCAGTTTACAGAGCCGGCTAGCCAAAACAAAACATGTGCTGTGGCGACATCCTGTGGCAAATACTCGCTACTCTTCTATTTCTAGAGACACTGGTGACACATGGCGAAACTAAACTGGGTTAATAAAAAAACATTGATGGATAGGATAAGAATTACAAAGTGTGTAAACGAGTTGGTGGCATTAGCTAGCTGGTTGGCTCTCTGGTTGGCTAGCTAGCTAACGTTAGCTACAGCTAATTCTAGCTAGCTAACATTAGCTATAACGTTATTCGAGATAGCCAGCCCTGTATTCGTCTGACTGCTAAATGTTGCTGTTAATCTTGATAGCTATGTAGCTAGTTAGATGTTAATATACATGTTCCAATATCCACAAAGGCCTCCCTTTTGTTTACCGTTAATTAATTTCGGGTTTCCCTCATTCTAAGCAACCAAAATAAATCCCCAACTTTCGCTGTTCGGCTCCAACAACAAGTTTCCGGCATCAGCTTGGTCGCTAGTAGTTACTTGAGCAAATTAGCTGATGGACAGGTTGAACAGCCAGTCGCGGCCACGTGAAAGGAAGCCTCCCACTTGGCCACGCCCATTTTACCACACTACCAGCAAAAGTCACCTGTTGCTCACTCGCGCTTTTTATTCTGGGACTCATGATTATAATGACAATTGGGACTTGACTCATTATGATTTTTTATGGACTATTATTAGCAGGACGGGACAGCTCAGGATATTATTCTTCACATGGAAAAGATGAATCATATTTATCCAGGCTACAGCAAACCTTGAATATACAATTCAAATTGGATCATGTTGAGAAAATCGTCTGACGAAATAAACTGTCTAATCATCGGAAATAGTGGTTACTACTGTATCCCATCTCAAGTGGACTAGGGACTCTCATTTATGGATACATTTTGGATCGCAAAGGTGACTGATCATTCATCAACTGACATCAATAACAGCCAATTAGCCAGCACCCAAAAGTAGATGGTAAGTAGCCTATCAGGACCATTTCACAAATTATTGATCCCAGTCAAGTGTGCTCGGGACGGGTCCAGGTGGGCACGTTGGGTAGTATACTTTTTAGCTTGTCCCCCACTATGCTGCATGCTTAGTGTGCTGTGTTTGTGTTGTTGAGCGCAATGGTGGAACGTGATCATGTTTCAGAATGTGAGATGCGGTTTGTTATTCAGCACTGCTCGGGTCAAAGCTCAGGTAAGAAGGCGAGCGCACCTGACCCATTCTCTCGTTCTCTTCCGCTTACTTCCTTTCCGAATGAATGATTAATGACAAACGCAGAACGAATGTACAGAGAGAGAGAAACAATGTCATGACGATAGGCTACCAGTAAAGGCAACGCACATACCGTGTTGAACAAACTGAATGCCTATTATATTCGTGAAATGCCTATCTTGCAATTTGCTCACCTGGGTGTGTAAGCTAGTCCAACACAATAATAGGTGTCAGTGTCACCAAGAATGAGGAATAGACACACTGCACAGCATTTAAGTTAGGCTATTTATCAAGGTAAAGTAACCACTTGCCTGGTGAGCAGGTTCTTATCCCACAGCATGTTTGGAAAGGGTTTGTGAAGAGCCTACAAAACATATAGAATCACTAGAACGGCAATATATTATATATGGTTAAACACATACATTGTTTCTATTTCCTTTAGAGATGGAGCACTCAGGTTCGTACAGCTCTGTGTATGAGCCGAATGGGCATGCTGCCTGGGCAGACGACCAGCAGCATCAGGACCTGGAGACAGCGGACAACCTCAGGAGGAAGATCAAGTACTTCTTCATGAACCCCTGTGAGAAATACAAAGCCCGCGGACGGAAACCATGGAAACTGATGCTCCAGATCATCAAGATCGCCATCATTACCATCCAGGTACTGACCAATGAGGGAACAGTCAACAGAGACAGGATACTTTTTAGTTGTTTAGTTCTGAGCTATTCCATATCCAGACTAAAAATACCCAATATAGAAAGAAAGAGAGACACACAGCCATTTCCTGATCACGCGAATAAGCAGCGTCATGGTTTTAAACCATCCCAACTATACCAGACGTATCCCATATCCCAATTCTCATTGAGACAGTGATCACCAACTTTCTCATACATAGTGATGGAAGCCACTATATATATGACAGTATGTTGGATTGCATCCTATGTATGTAATTAATAACTTTTCTCTTCACAGTTGGTGTCTTTTGGACTGAGCAATCAGATGGTGGTAACCTTCAAAGAGGAGAACCTCATGACGTTCAAGCATCTCTTCCTCAAAGATTACGTGGATGGCCGTGGGGACTCTTATGCTGTGTACAGGCAGGATGAGGTGTATGAACACATTTCTTACATAGTCGATAAGGTAAGGACAGTCAACAGCTGCTATCACGTTCTGTCGAACATAAACTGTGATTGGAAATGAATGATATACAGGGATATCTCCTCTGTATTGCTTTTGGTTTCTAATTGAGGACAGTAGGTAAAACCTGTGAGATGGTAACCTGAATTCCAGGCAACAAAAACTGAAGCTAGTTCTGACCATTCCCTTTATCCTGTGACACTGTCTGTGTCCCGAGAACTCAAAATACTGTTTACCAGGAGTATTCTCCCTAGTCCCACCACCTAGTAAACAATATTTTGCATCCTCAGGAACAGTTGACAGTGACATAATGGCATGTGATTGTTAAGCAGCACAATAGTTTACTCCTTTGTTTTGTCACATTACTGTCAATCATTAAATGAGTTTTATAGGTAAAGTAGCTTGTATAGTTCTGTCCTCTTAGAGGACTTTGTACAGTACCTAGCTCCTTTCATTTGGGATGGATTTTTGCTGTGTAAAGGTAGTGTTTTACGGAGCATGATTCCACTGAAATACCTACCCAACGTCTGTTTATTGTGATTTGTTTAGCCTCCAACTTCTGTTCTGTCACAGCTTGATAGTTCACCAACATTTAAAGTTGTATTAGTCGTATGTACAGGATACACATGGTATACACCAACCAACGAAATGCTTACTTGCAGGTTCCTTTTCGACAATGCAACAACAATAATAAAAGCTAAGAAAACAAACATAAAGTAAATGTCTCAGTAGAATAGAATAATCATTTTAGCATCAGTATAATACAGGAAGGCACAATTTATAGTCCAATATTTACACATGTATCAGGGAAGGGGGGATTGGGGGCAAGTGTATAAATTGTGCAGTATTCATGGCATCCCTTGTCAATCAAACATAATTTGAGTACATACAGTATGTGATTGCTTACTTTTTATGTTACAGTTGTCGTTCTTTTATGTCCTAATTGTAGTATTCCCGTCTGCGAAATATCACAGTTGGTAACCATGCCTATGAGAAGAACGGGGATACCTATTCCCCTCTGTCTCTGTGCCAGGAGTTCTACAGGAATGGAAGCATCTCACCAGCCAATGAGACCTTTGATATAGACGCACAGATTGAAACTGGTAGGCTAATGGATACTGTATACTATATGTAATTTACAGTTTAGCTTTCAGTGGTGTGTAAGAGTTGCCTGACGACTCACTGAATTCTTCCGCTGCTCTATCGTTCGCTACATACTTCAGTCTTGAACTGCCATTATTGAAGTCTTTGTGGTGACATCGAAATGAGGAGTGTTGTACAAAACAAAGTAATCAGCAATTGGATCATCTCTAACCAATCAGAGTATCAAAGCCAATGACGCATTTTCAAAACGCCTCTTTACCCACGTGTGTTCTGGGACCAATAAGACGGTCTAGAATGGATTTCCATTCTAGAAATCGTCAGGGAGGTATTCCGATCCAGACTCAATACGGAGAAGAAACTAACGTCTGTGGGTGTAGCGTTTGGCCAGAGCAAGGAATTTGGGTAGCCAGGCAAGTCTAACAGGTTCGATATGCTTTAATCACTTTATCAGAAAGGTCTGAACAGAAGGTTATGATTTGGACTGAGGAGGTTTTGATAAGCAATCAGATTTTTTTATTAATTGCAGAAATGTTTTTAAAAGTCACTTTGTGGTTATTTCCCCCACAACAGAATGCCTTGAGATTGTTCCTGTGTTCCCCATGGGAAGCACAACAGAGGATGATCTGTTGAATTTCATTGTGCATTTCAAAAGGTATCAGGCTGTGATTTTAAACTTATAATTTTTCCTGCATATTCATAAGTAATATAACTTTATCCACTGTATCCTTTTAACAAAAACAGGTAATTTTGCTTATAGTACATGAGTGTGGGGTGATAGCTCTTTAAACAAACACATTACATAATATTCATAACTGGATCCCTCACATTTTTTGTCCTAAATGTAGGTTGTTGTACTTGTCAGTGATAAGATACTGTATTTGTCTTTGTGACTTGCAGATTGTTGAATGTGAAGATCAAGTTCACTCTGAAGGCCATAAATTTACAGACAGTCAGAAACAGAGAGCTGCCAAACTGCTATGACTTTGATGTCACGGTATGTCATCTGACTCTAGGCTGTTTATCTACCTCACCTATTGGCTAGGCAGATTATAGACATATTTCCAGTATGACAGTATGTTCTCTGTGTATTTAGAAGTTTCTTCCCATTTTTATCCTTTAGAGTTCCACTGTATCTTCAAAGTTGATAGTTCATTGTTTGAAACTTGAGAAAAGTATTAGGTGTGACTGGAATGTTAGCTAGGGCTTGGCCAGTTAAACATAAACTCTCCATACCCTTTCCTTCCGTATTTAAAAACCATGTCTCTTTCTCTGGTTAACAGATCACCTTCAACAACCAAGCCCACAGTGGCAGAATAAAGGTCGACCTGGACAATGACGTTGATATAAATGAATGTAGAGACTGGAAAGTAACCGGGGCCTGTATGTTCAGTGTATAATCATTAGCCCTTCCTCTTTCATTTTACTCTAGCGCTACCTGTATTTAAAAGGGTGTATTTTATAGATCAAAGTTCTGCTGTAATTGTTTTCAACCAAAGAGTGGCAGTGTTGTTCTAGTTTAGTTTTCTCTCCTCAGCTCCCAAGAACATCTATTACCCACTGCTGTTTGACTGTCTCATCATTGGAACGTGTATCACCTCTCTGGCCCTCTGCACACGCTCTGTGCTCAACGGGATACGGCTACAGTTTGTAAGTCTACTATTCTGCCCTACAAAGGCAAAGTGCAGTAACTACGAATTTGTTAACCTTTCATCTGATGTAATGGCCAGGTATACTATCTGATTGTGGTATTTAGTTTCCTGACACAAGAACAAGCCAGTCGATCAGAATATGTCATGAAGTACCAGAAATTGCTGTCTAATTACGTAGGCACTGCACTTTTGCAGGGCAGTATTGTCAACAGTGAATGGTGAGTGGTTTTTGTGTGTTATGGCTGTATCCGTCTAATTTTCCCAGGAGTACACAGACTTCTGCCTAGTCCGTCACGGGAAGGAGGTTCCATGGTCCGATAGGCTGGAGTTTTTGAACGGCTGGTATATCCTCATCATTGCCAGTGATACACTCACCATCATCGGCTCCATTCTGAAAATAGAAATCCAGACAAAGGTGTGTGTGACATTTTATCTGCATTAGCCTTCACACGTTACACAAATAATATTTGTCTAATTTGTGGTGACTTCGTTTTAGTTCAGCCGTGTGCTTTTCCCTTAGATTCTCACCAGTTATGATGTCTGCAGCATCTTTCTTGGGACGGGCACAATGCTTGTTTGGATCGGAGTCATACGCTACATGGGCTACTTCAAGAAGTACAATGTAGGACACTCATGTTGAATTCAACACTTGATGCTTCACACAACACATATTATCTATTTTTTAAAAGTGGAATACTGGATGAATTCCATTGAACTGTGGATTGTGATTGGGTATTCCTAGATTCTCATCCTGACCCTGAGAGCAGCGTTCCCAAACGTGGTCCGGTTCATTGGTTGTGCCGGAATCATCTACCTGGGGTACTGTTTCTGTGGCTGGATCGTGCTCGGGCCCTACCACGAGAAGGTAGGAGATCAAACGAGGGTTGAACCCACAACCTTCAAGTGCTTTCTGTTGGGAGTGTTATCACTCAACCACACAGGTGCCAGGGTTTTTTAACAGTAAAAGGAGGCTTTAACTGGATTTTTTAATTACATTTTTACCATAACCTTGTCTGTTTTGCTGTGTTAGTTCCGGACCCTGAACACAGTATCAGAGTGCCTGTTCTCGCTGATAAACGGAGATGACATGTATCCCACCTTCAAGTACATGAAGCAGAAGAGTTACCTGGTGTGGCTGTTCAGCAGAGTCTACCTCTACACCTTCGTCTCGCTCTTCATCTACATGATCCTCAGCCTCTTCATCACCCTTATCACTGATACCTATGACACCATAAAGGTTAAGATTCATTATAGGCAGTGTATACAGCCGGCAGATATTGAATAGTTCCGGATGGTGATTTGCTATACCCTTAGCGCAACACATTTCCATGCCTAATATTTAGCTCTGATGGTCGACTATGCACTTCTGTTATTATAACATTTCACTTGCTTTTTGTTACAATACTATTCCTAGTAAAAACATTTCCTCACCAGAATGATCCTCCTATTGTTTGTGTTGCAGCAACAGCAGCAGGAGGGGAGCCCAGTGTCAGAGCTGCATTGTTTCATGTCGGAGTGTAAAGATCTGCCCACCTCAGGACGCTATCGGGTAGAGGGGGAGTCTGGCTCCTTCACCTGCTGCTTCCCCAGGTGAGGACAAACCGAGTGACATTTGTGTTTGCATTTATTAGGGATCCCCATTCTTCCTGGGTTTCAAACACATAAAACATGTGTTTTACATATAAAACAAAAGTTAAAACACTACATCATATAAAATGATTATACCACTACATATCTACAATACAAAATGTATAATACCACCATACAACAATATTACAATGTACTTGAGTGTAGCGTGCGTGTGCTAGCGCTTGCATGCATGTGTCTGTTCCTTTGTGTGTCTCTTCACAGTCCCCTCTGTTCCATAAGGTATATTTGTATCTAATATATTTTTAATCTACTGCTTGCATCAGTTACCTGATGTGAAATAGAGTTCCATGTAGTCATGGCTCTATGTAGTACTGTGTGCCTCCCATAGTCTGTTCTGGACTTGGGGATTGTGAAGAGACCTACAGTGAGGGAAAAAAGTATTTGATCCCCTGCTGATTTTGTACGTTTGCCCACTGACAAAGACATGATCAGTCTATAATTTTAATGGTAGGTTTATTTGAACAGTGAGAGACAGAATAACAACAACAAAATCCAGAAATACGCATGTCAAAAATGTTATAAATTGATTTGCATTTTAATGAGGGAAATAAGTATTTGACCCCCTCTCAATCAGAAAGATTTCTGGCTCCCAGGTGTCTTTTTATACAGGTAATGAGCTGAGATTAGGAGCACACTCTTAAAGGGAGTGCTCCTAATCTCAGTTTGTTACCTGTATAAAAGACACCTGTCCACAGAAGCAATCAATCAATCAGATTCCAAACTCTCCACCATGGCCAAGGCTGGAATGGGCTACAAGACCATCGCCAAGCAGCTTGGTGAGAAGGTGACAACAGTTGGTGCGATTATTTCTCAAATGGAAGAAATACAAAATAACTGTCAATCTCCCTCTGCCTGGGGCTCCATGCAAGATCTCACCTCGTGGAGTTGCAATGATCATGAGAACAGTGAGGAATCAGCCCAGAACTACACAGGAGGATCTTGTCAATGATCTCAAGGCAGCTGGGACCATAGTCACCAAGAAAACAATTGGTAACACAATACGCCGTGAAGGACTGAAATCCTGCAGCGCACGCAAGGTCCCCCTGCTCAAGAAAGCACATATACAGGCCCGTCTGAAGTTTGCCAATGAACATCTGAATGATTCAGAGGAGAACTGGGTGAAAGTGTTGTGGTCAGATGAGACCAAAATGGAGCTCTTTGGCATCAACTTAACTCACCGTGTTTGGAGGAGGAGGAATGCTGCCTATGACCCCAAGAACACCATCCCCACCGTCAAACACGGAGGTGGAAACAGTATGCTTTGGGGGTGTTTTTCTGCTAAGGGGACAAGACAACTTCACCGCATCAAAGGGATGATGGACGGGGCCATGTACCGTCAAATCTTGGGTGAGAACCTCCTTCCCTCAGCCAGGGCATTGAAAATGGGTCGTGGATGGGTATTCCGGCATGACAATGACCCAAAACACACGGCCAAGGCAACAAAGGAGTGGCTCAAGAAGAAGCACATTAAGGTCCTGGAGTGGCCTAGCCAGTCTCCAGACCTTAATCCCATAGAAAATCTGTGGAAGGAGCTGAAGGTTCGAGTTGCCAAACGTCAGCCTCGAAACCTTAATGACTTGGAGAAGATCTGCAAAGAGGAGTGGGACAAAATCCCTCCTGAGATGTGTGCAAACCTGGTGGCCAACTACAAGAAACGTCTGACCTCTGTGATTGCCAACAAGGGTTTTGCCACCAAGTACTAAGTCATGTTTTGCAGAGGGGTCAAATACTTATTTCCCTCATTAAAAAGCAAATCAATTTATAACATTTTTGACATGCGTTTTTCTGGATTTTTGTTGTTGTTATTCTGTCTCTCACTGTTCAAATAAACCTACCATTAAAATTATAGACTGATCATGTCTTTGTCAGTGGGCAAACGTACAAAATCAGCAGGGGATCAAATACTTTTTTCCCTCACTGTATGTTGGCATGTCTTGTGGGGTATGCATGGGTGTCCGAGCTGTGTGCTAGTAGTTTAAACAGACAGCTCGGTGCATTCAGCTTGTCAACACTTCTTACAAAAACAAGTAGTGATGAAGTCAATCTCTCTTCCGCTTTGAGCCATGAGATTGACATGCATATATATCATTGTTAGCTCCCTGTGTACTTTTAAGGGCCAGCCGTGCTGCCCTGTTCTGAGCCAATTGAATTTTGTGGCACCTAACCACACGACTGAACAGTAGTCCTAGTGCAACAAAACTAGGGCCTGTAGGACCTGCCTTTTGTTGATAGTGTTGTTAAGGCAGAATAGCACTTTATTATGGACAGACCTTAGCTACTGTTGTATCAATATGTTTTGACCATGACAGTTTACAATCCAGGATTACTCCAAGCAGTTTAGTCACCTCAAATTTCGACATTATTCATTACAAGATTTAGTTGAGGTTTAGTGAATGATTTGTCCCAAATACAATGCTTTTAGTTTTTTAAATATTTAGGACTAACTTATTCCTTGCCACCCATTTTGAAACTAAGTGTTGCAGTCATTTCAGTCGCTGTAGTAGCTGACGTGTATAGTGTTGAGTCATCCGCATACATACACACTGGCTTTACTCAAAGCCAGTGGCATGTCATTAGTAAAGATTGAAAAAAAGTAAGGGGCCTAGACAGCTGCCCTGATTCTACCTGGATTATGTTGGAGAGGCTTCCATTAAAGAACACCCTCTGTGTTCTGTTAGACAGGTAAGTCTTATCCACAATATAGCAGGGGGTGTAAAACCATAAGAGGTTTTTCCAGCAGCAGACAATGATCGATAATGTGAAAAGCCACACTGAAAGCTAACAAAACAGCCCCCACAATCTCTTTATCATCAATTTCTCTCAGCCAATCATCAGTCATTTGTGTAAGTGCTGTGCTTGTTGAATGTCCTTCCCTATAAGTGTGCTAAAAGTCTGTTGTCAATTTGTTTACTGTAAAATAGCATTATATCTGGTCAAACACATATTTTTTTCAAAAGTTTACTAAGGGTTGGTAACAGGCTGTCAGAGGTTACCTGTAAAATGTTATGTTCTGAGTCTTGAACTCTGGACCACAGCAGAACTAGGGTTGGGGTCAATTCCGTTTCAATTCAAGAAGTAAACTGAATTTCCAAATCAGTTTACTTGACTTGAAATATAATTGACCCCACCCTTAAAGGAACCAATGCTTGAACACAGGTTATGTGAAGTGACACATTCTTTCAGTCCAAAGATTAACCAATGTAACTTTCAACTAACCTGTCAATTGTTTTGTTTTCCCCCCAGATGCAAGGACTCACGAGAAAGGCTGAGCTCTGAATCAATAGACTCTGAGCCATAGTGGACCTTTTATCAGTCTCCTGAGGTTAGAGATTAGGAAGAAACCTTACCTTGTACATAACCATGACCAGCACTTTACTGTACGGGTTAGCCCTGCAAAACGTTATTGTCCTGTACTTCTAGACCTGTTTTAATCTTATCCACCAGCTAACTCTATGCAGTAGCAATTGAGCCTGGGGACGAGGTTAGACCTGTTATGAATTGTCACTGTGTAAGATGCCTGTTAAAATGTACTAAAGTTGATGACCACATAATGATATGCACTGATGAATGATGATTATTTGAATGTACTGTAAATATAAAAAAGTGAATTGTTCAAAGACATGGCAACATTAATAAAATGAATGGCACATAAAAAAGTTGCTATTCCCAAAAATTATTTTTCCCAAGCCCAGTAGATTGCAACAGTTTAGCTGTTATCAGTTTTAGATTCCCAAAGGGCAGTTGGCATCTAATCACGAGCAAGGGTTGAATTGGAGTGGACACGGATAAGACAAGGAAATGCAATTTATTTTCTGTTAAAATGAGGCTTTATTTCCCCAAGGTGGGCATACACCGGAAGTATAAAACATTGCTGACCTGTACAATTTATTTTACTCCATTTCTTAACTCTTCTATCAACATAAGCTTATATATGATACAAAATAAAAATGCAATTAAAACGAGTTTAACTATGACAAATCGGGTAAATTGCGTCTGGGTCATTCACACAGAGAATGGCTGAAAGGAGCCCAATCAACATATCAATACAATTATGTAAAATCTCTGCCCGGATAAGATGTCTGTACATTAGGACCCCATGAATTCTCGAGTAATGTGGGGGGGTAGATCCATTTTCAATTAGGGCTTTGGTATAGGAATTCATCAATGTGCTGGTTTCTGGGCTGAGATGAGCTCAAGCCTGGACTGAGGATAGGTAGAAATAGACTAAAGCTGGTCAGGGTCGGAGCTTAGTGGTGGTGGTGGGACCCGCTGCTCGTCCAGCCGGTTAGCCTGGGAGCGCAGGATAAGGCTAAAGAAGTCCTCGTCTGGGACAGTAGGACCTCTAGTGGAGGGAGGGGGAATTTCTGCACACCGCTGGTCGTTCAGTCTTGAACCCTACACAAGCACATTGGGACAGACCTGATTGTGATCTTAAATCAACAGTATTAGTAATCTTTCTGCTAGTCTTTTTCAATAAATTTGGTACATGAGTTACAATTCATCATCTTTACAATAGGTGCTAATTCTGTATGTAAGCAAATATAGGCTGACTTGTCTGAATAATAGTCAAGTCATTTTGTCAGTGAGCCAACTAAAATAGGCTATGTGTTGATTACCTGGCACTTGACCAGCATGTCAAAGAAGATGTCGTCAGCCTGAGGCTGGTCAAAACTGGTCATCAGGTGACTGAGCATGGTGTGGGGGCTGATGGGCTGATCGGAGGTGCTGAGACGTAGACCGGGGAGGCTGCTGCCCACGCTGGCTCTCTGCTCGTCCAGCTGACTGCCCTGGGAGCTGGCCCACAGATCCAGGAAATGCCCAGGCTCCGGGTTGGCCTCGCATGCGGAAGTAGCTAGAAAAGGTGGAAGAGGAAAAGGGAGGTGAGGAAGGGGTGATGACAGAAAGAGTGAAAGGAAGGAGTAGTTTCAGTTTAGCCTGAAATCCACTTCTCCAAAGCAACCTTTTTCCCAAACCTGTTTTATTTATTATGACCAACACAAGGAGTAAAATAACCAATACATGAGCTCCTACCCCCAGACAAGAGAATAAGGGATAGGCAAGGATGACGCTTAGGTCACCAAGTGCAACATTGGTGGGTGTGGCATGCAGAGGGAGGCGGGGCTAACTCACATTTCCTCATGGCTACGGGCGGGGTAGTACAGGGAGAGAAGGGATCGGAGAGACGGCTCTCGCCATCCAATAAGGAGCACCTTTGGTCGTCCATTCTGCTGCCCTGGAAACGACTGAGGAGGTCGAAGAAGCCATCGTCACCCAGAGTGTCAGAACCTCCAATCTACAGGAGAAAATATCAACAAAACTCCCATTAAAACAACCAGAAAAGACTCAGTCACGACCAACATGAGAAAGACTATCACTAAGATGAGCATGTAACAACAGCCTGGATCTACCACAATATGGACCTACTTTAGTGAAGCCATAGGAATAGAATTTAAAATAATAGCCAGGCAAATTCTATTATTTATATTTCTATGATTAAAACACTATGTATAGGCCTATCACTATGGTTAAAGCTACCTTGACTCCTGACTCCTGTGTGTCCATCTCTCGGGCTGTGGGCTTGTTGCTGGTGTCCTGTAGGACCCCGTCTCTGGTAGGAGAGCTGTGTTTGTGTTTCTTCCTTCTGAACCGGTTGATGGAGAACAGCTTGGAGGAGGCATTGGCCATGCTGGATTTAGGGTCAGGAGGCCTGAATACGTCTTCGTCCCAGTTCTGTGGTAATGGCAGACAGTAGATTAAACAACACAGAGGACAGGGGGTGATAAGTGGTGTCTAGGCAGTTCAGTTGAGACGTCACTGCTGCTATATAACCAATCAATAAAAACGACATTTAAATAAATCAATACAATTGTAACATGACTGATGAGACATTTCTGATCCTAAGCCTATGTGAGTGTTAATATGCATGTGTACTGTACATATTTTTGTACCCACTTCTACAGTTTTCTCAGGGCTCAGTCCTATAGGCTCCAAGTTCGCCATACTGTTCCTCCTTCCTTCTGACTTCACACCTAAAACAAACATCAGAAGTGGGTATTTCTCCAATATGGATCTACAGTCATTTGTGTCACTTTGCCAGGCTTGCACCTGGACTGACTCTGAACTACAGATTTGTGTAGGGTTCAGAATAATGAGTACAAATGGAATAATGGTTATTTATAATAATAATAATAATAATAATAATAATACATGACATTTAACAGACGCTTTTATCCACAGCGACTTACAGTAGTGCGTGCATACATTTTCTTATGGGTGGCCCCAGCAGGAATCAAACCCATGATCGACGTTGGAAGCACCATGCTCTACCAACTATGCCACACAGGACCATTTTTATTTAAACTAAAATCAATAAATATAGTTTATAATAATAATGTTACAGGTAGGTAGGCCTGTAGGGACTTACCTGGTAAGGTATCCTGCTTCCTGTGGTTCTCAGTCAGAACAGAGCTGTTGTTGGTGTTGAGGCTTGAGCTTGGGTTCTGGCCCAGACCCAGCACTAACTTCAGGTCTGCCATATTCATCCTGGCTGTTGCCTCACCATTTTTGTCTCCAGTCTGGACCAGATACAGGATGAGAAGTGAAAAGGGAGAACTAGCTACATAAGAAGAACACAAATCAAACACAGCAAGGAAAGAATGTGCCCATATAGAGAGTTGAGGTGTTGTTGTCATCGACCCTCCTATCAGTTCCGAAGAGATTGCCTCATTCATTTTATCCATAGGGATATCGCAGAGTTGTGACTTATTGGATAATAATGAGCAGGTTATTTCCGTGTAGTTCCTCAGATGTCCAGCAGAAGGCGCTGTGACTAGATGACAGGTACTGATAACATGCATTAGATCGGGAAGAGTACAAAGTTGCCCAGTAGCAGTAAACAAGCACCTCTTTGGATATCACCAGATGCTTCTCAGCAAAGTGAATGGCCTTCTGATGATTCCCCAAGGCTGTGTGGGCATTTCCTAAACTCCAGCACGCTCTGCCCTCCCCAACCCTGCACAAACACAGAGAGAAGGGACATCCCCAATGAATTTAGAGTACACTTCACTACTGTGATCACTTCGAGCATGTTGAACAATGCATGTGCATCCAGGGTAAAGATGATGAACTGTGTGTGTGTGTGTGTGTACACTACATGTGGCGAGCTTTACATCACTCCAGCCGACGCTTGGCATGGTGATCTTAGGCTTATGTGCGGCTGCTCGGCCGTGGAAACCCATTTCATGAATCTCCCGACAAACAGTTCTTGTGCTGACGTTGCTTCCAGAGGCAGTTTGGAACTCGGTAGTGAGTGTTGCAACTGAGGGGGCTGTGAGCTTGTGTGGCCTACCACTTCGTGGCTGAGAAGTTGCTCCTAGACGTTTCCACTTCACAATAACAGCACTTACAGTTGATCGGGGCATCTCTAGCAGGGCAGAAATTTGACGAACTGACTTGTTGGAAAGGTGGCATCATATGACGGTGCCACGTTGAAAGTCACTGAGCTCTTCAGTAAGGCCATTCTACTGCCAATGTTTGTCTATAGAGATTGCATGGCTGTTTGCTCGATTTTATACACCTGTCAGCAACAGGTGTCACTGAAATAGCCGAATACACTAATTTGAAGGGGTGTCCACATACTTTTGTATATATAGTGTACCTGTCCTTGAGCTCCTGTGCGATGATGAGGTGTTTGAGGTGGTAGTCAATGGCTCTCTGGTAGTCCTGCTGTAGTGTGTAGGTGTTCCCCAGGCTATAACAGGCCTGAGCCTCCACAGCCTTGTCCGTCAGCAGCATGGCCAGCTGCAGAGTCCTCCTGGGTAGAGGGTGAGGGCAGAGGCACATACAGGTCAAGGGTCAGAGGGTGAGGAAGAAGGGGTCACCCCTGTTTATTTTCAATTTACAATTGTGTGAAACATCACAGTACAGTTGGAAAATATATGGCAAATAGAAATCCAATATGGATGGTATTAAGAGATAGATGGGAGGGGTTGAATGGAGCTGAAGGTTGGGACTAATAACAACTAATAACAACAAAATAACTAATGTAAAACATACTGTGTCCATAATAAGTATATAGGTTATAGGTTAAGAACTTTTGTGAAAGAGCACAGTTTGAAAGATATGGCATATAGATGCAAACCGGATGGACATCATGAAAATGATCGGAGAGGTTGAGGGTTGAAGAAGTTCAGGAGTAAAAACAAACAAAATAGAACTATTGTAAAATTGACTGTGTCCATAAAATGTATATAGTATGTATAAGCTGGAAGTAGAGGCCTAAGCGTTGTTGTTCACTAGTTTACTCCAATTAGGGGAGGGGTGGTGGGGTTGGAAAGTAAGAAAGGAAAATATTTTTTTTTAAAGGATATATATATGTACAGTCGTGGTCAAAAGTTTTGAGAATGACACAAATACAAATTTTCGCAAAGTCTGCTGCCTCAGTTTTGATGATGGCAATTTGCATATACTCCAGAATGTCATGAAGAGTAATCAGATGAATTGCAATTAATTGCAAAGTCCCTCTTTGCCATGAAAATGAACTTAATCCCCAAAAAACATTTCCACTGCATTTCAGCCCTGCCACAAATGGACCAGCTGCCAACATGTCAGTGATTGTCTCGTTAACACAGGTGAGTGTTGACGAGGACAAGGCTGGAGATCACTCTGTCATGCTGATTGAGTTAGAATAACAGACTGGAAGCTTTAAAAGGAGGGTGGTGCTTGAAATCATTGTTCTTCCTCTGTTAACCATGGTTACCTGCAAGGAAACATGTGCCGTCATCATTGCTTTGCACAAAAAGGGCTTCACAGGTAAGGATATTGCTGCTAGTAAGATTGCATTCCTGGCCATGGACATTTTGGGTCCATGGCCAGGAAACTCCCCAGACCTTAATCCCATTGAGAACTTGTGGTCGATCCTCAAGCGGCGGGTAGACAAACAAAAACCCATAAATTCTGACAAACTCCATTTACATTTACATTTTAGTCATTTAGCAGACGCTCTTATCCAGAGCGACTTACAGGAGCAATTAGGGTTAAGTGCCTTGCTCAAGGGCACATTTACGTCATTTAGCAGACGCTCTTATTCAGAGCGACTTACAAATTGGTGCATTCACCCTATAGCTAGTGGGATAACCACTTTCCAAATTTTTTTTTTTTTTTAGAAGGATTACTTTATCCTATCCCAGGTATTCCTTAAAGAGGTGGGGTTTCAAATGTCTCCGGAAGGTGGTGAGTGACTCCGCTGTCCTGGCGTCGTGAGGGAGCTTGTTCCACCATTGGGGTGCCAGAGCAGCGAACAGTTTTGACTGGGCTGAGCGGGAACTATGCTTCCGCAGAGGAAGGGGAGCCAGCAGGCCAGAGGTGGATGAACGCAATGCCCTCGTTTGGGTGTAGGGACTGATCAGAGCCTGAAGGTACGGAGGTGCCATTCCCCTCACTGCTCCATAGGCAAGCACCATGGTCTTGTAACGGATGCGAGCTTCAACTGGAAGCCAGTGGAGTGTGCGGAGGAGGGGGGTGACGTGAGAGAACTTGGGAAGGTTGAACACCAGACGGGCTGCGGCATTCTGGATGAGTTGTAGGGGTTTAATGGCACAGGCAGGGAGCCCAGCCAACAGCGAGTTGCAGTAATCCAGACGGGAGATGACAAGTGCCTGGATTAGGACCTGTGCCGCTTCCTGTGTAAGGCAGGGTCGTACTCTCCGAATGTTGTAGAGCATGAACCTGCAGGATCGGGTCACCGCCTTGATGTTAGCGGAGAACGACAGGGTGTTGTCCAGGGTCACGCCAAGGCTCTTCGCACTCTGGGAGGAGGACACAACGGAGTTGTCAACCGTGATGGCGAGATCATGGAACGGGCAGTCCTTCCCCGGGAGGAAGAGCAGCTCCGTCTTGCCAGGGTTCAGCTTGAGGTGGTGATCCGTCATCCATACTGATATGTCTGCCAGACATGCAGAGATGCGATTCGCCACCTGGTTATCAGAAGGGGGAAAGGAGAAGATTAGTTGTTTATCGTCAGCGTAGCAATGATAGGAGAGGCCATGTGAGGATATGACAGAGCCAAGTGACTTGGTGTATAGGGAGAAAAGGAGAGGGCCTAGAACTGAGCCCTGGGGGACACCAGTGGTGAGAGCACGTGGTGCGGAGACAGCTTCTCGCCACGCCACTTGGTAGGAGCGACCGGTCAGGTAGGACGCAATCCAGGAGTGAGCCGCGCCGGAGATGCCCAGCTCGGAGAGGGTGGAGAGGAGGATCTGATGGTTCACAGTATCAAAGGCAGCAGACAGGTCTAGAAGGACAAGAGCTCCAAGCATTGATTATGCAGGAATGGGCTGCCATCAGTCAGGATGTGGCCCAGAAGTTAATTGACAGCATGCCAGGGCGGATTGCAGAGGTCTTGAAAAAGAAGGGTCAACACTGCAAATATTGACTCTTTGCATGAACTTCATGGAATGCTTGTAATTATACTTCACTATACCATAGTAACATCTGACAAAAATATCTCATAACACTGAAGCAGCGAACTTTGTGAAGACCAATACTTGTGTCATTCTCAAAACTTTTTGTATGTATGTATGTAGGTATGTATATCTATGCAAAATAAATATATGGGGGATTGGAAGTGATGCAGACAGACACATTGATGGACGTTACAATCTATCTCCAATATTAAAGCTGATCTACCCCCTAAAAAATAAAAAATAAAAGAAGGGGTCACCACCAAAAACGGTCTTGCTTGTTCCTAATTTATAGGCGGCTGTGGGCAGAGACAGCCAAAAACACAATATTCCCTTATCATTTTCACCTCACTTTAAAACTCCTTCTCTTCTCACTGCCTGCCCTCACTCATGTTTATTCATGAAGTTTATCAAGTTAATTTGGACAGGGACAATGTACAACAAAAACAAACATCTCAGAAGTAAGGAGTGATGCGTTCCACCAAAGTTGCACCAAAGTTAGCTAACATCTGTCAAACAAATGTGGACCAACTAGAGAGTACGAGACAGGCGTGTCTGAAAAAGCACTGGGCCTCTGATGGTTGGTCTAAGGAAGTGAGTCTAGTAATCTACTACTCACTTGTAATGTTCAGCCGCCTCTTCAAACTGGCCCAGGAAGATGTATGCATTGCCTAGGTTACAGTAGGCCCTCCTCTCAGCCGCCTTGTCCCCAAACTCCTTAGCGATGAGGAGACGCTACAACAAGTTAAAGAAAGAAGCAGATTGGTCATTGGTTACAGGTTCTCAATCACTCTACATAATAAGGGAGAGAGATCATGCCATACAACATTATTTACACAGGGATGTCTATCCCTTCGTCCCAAATGGCACCCTATTCCCTATATAGTGGAAATAGGGTGCCATTTGGGACGCATCCTATATAATCTATAACCTTGACTGTTTATGGATGCAAGTCAGGTTCTATGATGCCACTAAGTTAGGGTATGTACCTGTCCATGGGCCACCACAGCTCGCTGGAAGTTTCCGAGCAGATAGTGTGTGTTACCTAGGTTACCATAGGTCCGCCCCTGTGCTGGTCGATCCCCCAAGTCCTTCACAATGGAAAGGTTGAATCTATGGTAAACAGAAACACACAAAAAATATATATAAAAAGGTAACATATTTACCAAAGTCAATTTAATCACAGACTGTCATTTAATGTAAAATGTCTGACTTATTTTTCAACAGACTATCATAAAAATAATTAAAAAGGTAACACACTAACAAAAGTCACATTTATTTATTGACACATTTTAAATAGCAGATTCCACTTTAGAATCCAACTGTTTAACTCACTCGTAATACTCGGTGGCTTTGTTCAGAGCGACCTTGGCCTCCTCAGGGATTTCTCCTGGCTCCGCTCCAGTCCAGCAGATGCTTTTCCCCTTGGCATGGTAAACGTTGCCGAAATTATACAGCGCTCGGGCCTGCCCAACCTACATGCACACACAGGCACCACCAGCACAGGAACAGACCAATACAACCAACGTTGTAATTATACACTTAAAATACATTACCCAGCACACAAACAGAGGGGTCGGACATCAACCTATTCTAAACATCAGCACATAACTATTCCTCAGTTATTCTAGTTCCCCAACTATTCAGCTGTGGAAGACCAAGCTGCCTGTTATGGCCACCACCAGTGGTCACCAGCCCTAGTCCTGGAGAGTCCAGGGTATTCACGCTTTCGTTCCAGTCTAGCACCAAATCTCAGTTAACCAAGGTCTTGATGTTTTGGTTGAACGTTTGAATCAGATGTCTTAGTGTTGGGCTGGAACCAAGATCAGCACACCTTTCAGCTCTCCAGGACCAGGGTTGATGACTACTACTCATTACAATCACAGTATATTACTTGTACTCACCTTATCGTACATCCCTCTGGTAATGTCATAGTGTCTTTGGCAACAGACCACTGCTTCGTCAAACCGTCCCAAAACCTTCAAAGTGTTCCCAAGGTTACCACTGGCTTTTGCTTCTCCAAGTTCATCCCCACAGGTTCTGGAGAGAAATCACATCCCCACACAGAATCTTAGACATGTCAACGATTTACAGTGCCATGCCAGACACTCTCTTGACCCAGAACATTTTAATTTGAATCTGCTCTACTTGAAATCAGCGTTTGTCCCTCTACTCTAGTAATGCTCCCATTTGAAGTGGTAACTGTTTTCATCCCCATGGGATACTGTGACCTGGGTGCTTTGCTTGCTTTCTGCCCAAACCAACCAACTGATTCCAGATCAGCAGTCACTTCCCCAGTTCCCAGCTCTCATTTTCCCCGACGTTTACCTTTAAGAGCTTAACAAACCTCGCCTTGGACCAGTTTTCTAAGGGCAGCATAGCCTCTCGCTGTCATACTTGCCTAGTCTTATGACGTCTTCACTTGAATAAAGGCAGTGGCTTAAGGCAGACCTTAGGTTCCAAGGGTCATGGCGGTGCTGTGTACCTAGTCAGAGTGAAGTCATGGCGGTGCTGTGTACCTGGTTAGAGTGAGGTCATGGCGGTTCTGTGTACCTGGTCAGAGTGAGGTCATGGTGGGTCTGTGCACCTGGTCAGAGTGAGGTCATGGCGGTGCTGTGTACCTAGTCAGAGTGAAGTCATGGCGGTGCTGTGTACCTGGTTAGAGTGAGGTCATGGTGGGTCTGTGCACCTGGTCAGAGTGAGGTTGTAGCTGTATTGTGATGTCATGTGGTGCTGTGCACCTGGTGAGAGTGAGGTTGTGGTGGTATTGAGAAGTCATGGCGCTGCTGTGTACCTGGTCAGTGTGAGGTCCTGCTAAGTGTGTGTACCTGGTGAGGTGGAGGTTGTGGCGGTGCTGTGTACCTGGTGAGGTTGAGGTCGTGGCGGTGGTATTCTAGAGCCTTGCTGTACTCCCGCAGATGGAAGTAGGCGTTGCCCAGCTGGCTGTAGATGGCGCTGAGTATCTGGAGGTCCTCTGTGCCAACCTGGATCGCCGACTCAAAGAAGGAGACCCCGGCACGGTAATCCCCCACCTTACACTGCCTCTCCCCCTCCAGGGCCAACTCCAGACAAGATGTCTCCATCCTAGAAGGAGAAGAACACTTTATAGCCCATTGTCTGTGTGTGTGTGCGTGATCAGACTGTCTAGGAACAGAAACTGATTTTGGAGGAAAGTCAGGGTAAAACATTAAAAGCCAACAACAACAGCCACCACATCACAACAACTATACACATAAGATAAGATAGAAAATAGCAAAAGGATCAGTTATGGTCAGAGTACTGCCCCAGTCAGATCTGTTTGCGCTCATGACAACTGCGGTCATTGTCAAGCCAAACATGGCATGACAAGAGTTGGCATGATAGCACAAACAGACTGGCACTCAAGCTCATGGCTGGCACAATTACCGTTTATGGATGAAGACAATCATGAAAAAAAAAGAACAGTCATAGCCATAAAAAAAACTGCTGGGCCTTTGTGCGGTTGAGTCAGTTTCGGCCATCAATCAATCAATCAAATGTATTTATAAAGCCCTTTTTCCATCAGCAGATGTCACAAAGTGCTATACAGAAACCCAGCCTAAAACCATAACATGGACTCTTAAAAATGTGATGAAACTTTGTTCACTGAGTTTCTAAACCCAGCGGCCCAACATCGTGATACTTCCGGGGACTCTTGCGAAGCAGACTTGGCAGACCAGACCAGGGTTTGGGACGTCAATGAGAGAAGTGAAACATTCTTCCTTAGTTGTTAATTTTCTCGATTTCTAAACGCACAACCTAGATTCTAGCCAATGTCTTAAGTAGCTAAACATGTTATTACTCCAACCTTATGAAAGTGACAAACTGACACGTTTTCATTTTAGCCAAAGACAACTTTATCGAAGGAGTGCCTTTCATTTGACGGCATGCACATGCCTAGGCAACCGTTAGACCCAATTACTTGTTTCTGCGCACAAGCTTAGCTAGCCAACGTCGCCATGACATCACCTACAGGTGTGATCAGGGATTTCCATTGGAGAAGCAGTTTCAAAAAGTCTTCATACTAAACCATCTTTGCTTTGTTGCGCCTTGCAGGAACAAGCAAATGGGTCTTCGGTTGCCTAGGCAATGCACCCCACAATGCAGCAGCACACATATAAATAGAATCAAAAGAAAGGGCTTGGAACCTCTAACCCTGGCAATTTGACTGGTAAACTCATGGGTACACTCGCAATGGCTGTCTGGGATTGTGATGCAATAATTTCCATGTTAATGTAGAATATTAATTCAAATTATGTTACTGATGTGGCTCATGCAATAGAATGTATTGTTTGTAATGTCAGTTCAATTGAATCAACAAATCACAGCACATATTTTACACATTTTACAGCAGTCCACCCATTATGCCATCATTGACATGAATGGGGATGCCTGTTCTATTCATTCTATTTCTATGGCAGCACATGCAGTCAGGACCAGATGAGAGGAGAAAATGTGTAATCAAAAAAGATAAACATTATTTTTAATGTTTTGTTATTCAAACAGTTATTACGGTGAAGTGGTCATTTGGCTGGCCAATTACTGTCATCCAAAATTCCATGACCATCACAGCCCTACACCAGACCAATGACATGGACTGTAGAAATACCTTGTCATGTTGGTATACAGAACCAAACTTCTCTCCACCAATGCAGTTCGGCTCCACAGCACACCCATATGTGTTTGTGGTTAGGATCTGTATCTATACTGTAGAACTCCACAGTCCACACCCTGCCACCACTGGCTTCAAAAACAGCTCTGGTTGGTTACTCCTCCAGGAAGTTCTGTTGCTTTCTTAAAAGGAAAGGCTTCCTTTCATGCCACTACAGATAGAGACAGAAAAACAATAACAGGCATTTCCATATGCTCTCTCCAGGAGAGTAAAGTCATTCACCAGACTCTTGGGCTATTAGCCTGGGGACGAGATTACCTACCAGGAGAATATAGTGCTGAGGAGGTGGAAACTATGGGATTATTATGACATCACATCATTATTTACCTACATCATGGCTTAGTCCAAGCATGACTCCCACCTCCATATGGCACAGCATATTACATACAGTATGCTGTATGCAAATGGTCTGGAGTGGTAAGAACATTGTCAACTCAATCCAATACCTGAAATACAATAACCACCTGCTCTCCTCACACTAATCAAAGACTTCCCAGCATCTGATTCAAACTTCAGTGAATATTGAACAGCCACAAACCAATGTCCATCTCAAGACAAATCGTTACCATGATTAGAGTTATTAGAATATAATGCCTGACTTTTGGGCCAGTGAAGAGCAGTCTTCAAGAGACCTCAGTGCTGCACCTGTAACCAACATACAGTACGGTACCTGCTGCCTCTTGTTATCCTCACCCACTCTCGGACCCTTGACAGGATGGACATTTCAAGCTTCTTGATCACTCTGTCACTGGCTATGATCGAGACCGGCTCCTTCAGGGCGAGACAACTCAGCTGCTGTCCTTTGGCGTGCAGACACATACCGACGACGGTGACCCGTTAGCCAGCCCAGACACAGCCAAAGAAAACTCCTCTCCCTAGTAAGACTCTCCGGCAATGACACGGTCTCTAAAACAGTCTCTCTGACCTGCCGTAACAGCACAACTTTGGGCTACAACTGCCTTCTGTCCAGAGACTTCTGACCCCTCCCAGTTGGACGTCCAGAGCATCAAATCTTTTGTTGACAGTTCAGTCAGGGCTTCAGTCTCCGGGTAACGTTAGAATTTCACGTACAGTAATGGGTTCAGGAGTTGTAGTGACTACAGTAAGCTGGGCTTAGCCGACGGCTGCATTTCTGGTTCAGTCTCCCTCCTCATCTGGGCCACCGGCTGGTGTGTGTCACATCTCATTAGCCAGCATGTTCAGAGGTAATTACAGGGGCTACTAAGTGGCTCCGGGGATGATCACTCTGTCCAACTCACTCCTTAGAGTTGTCATTGTCTCAGCGTTTTACTGGTGTCACAATAAAGCAGTTAGCCATAATACTGGACACTTGAAAGATGTTATTGACTTGAAACAGATCTTAATTTTAAAAAAGAGTGGAGATGACATGCAGTGAACCCATACATGAGATTCAGTGACCCCCGACATGAGCTTTGCAGAAAGGTCAGACTCTTTAGCAGTGTTCACATTGGCAGTTTGAAGTGACTCAAATCCTATTTATTTGCATATCCGATTCAAGTCTGTTATTTTTTCTGCAGTCTGAACAGTCAAAAAGCACATGGAATCGGATATTTCAAGCCACATTTCAAACCACCTTTGTAGGTGGTTTGAAGTCAGATACAAATCTGATTCCTGGCCATGTGACTTGTGTCTGAACGGTCAAAATCGGATTTATTTGCCCTCAAGTGGTTTTTAGACTGTTATTTGGCATATCTTGTTGCTTGCTAGCTACTCTGTTGACAGTTTGACAAGAACAGGTGGTAGCTAATTAGCTTGTTAATTGTTTACAAAGAAATTAGTGAATGTGCTAGAAACCTAAACAGCTAGCTAGTTGACTTCTGTGGCTAGGCAAAAAGGACTCATTTTGAAAGTTGGATCATCTTATTCTTTGAGGCTTTAAAAGTGTTCTTACCCTATGATTTTGAACATTCAAAGCAACTGGGAAATGTCCATAGCAGGCATTGTTGTCACCTTAGCTTTCTACATAACTTCTGAGTGATAGGAAGCACAAGCACCACCAATCAGTCTACACCACTGCATACATGCCCGTCATTACTATGACAACTAGCGTAGCCTTGTCCGCAAAATACTGCTGTCTGAACACACACACAAATCCGATTTGGTCACTTGTAACTTGCTGTTTGGACAGTCAGTAGTCCAAAACAGATTTGAAAAACAAAACTGATTTGAGTATTAAGGCCTGCAGTGTGAACAAGGCTTAAGTCACAGATATCATGAAGTCAGATACTACAGCAGCCCATCAAACAGGAACAGGGTCAAAACTCCATTCCCCACAATGCACTGTGGTAACCCTCTCCTTATCCTTCAGTCAGGTAAATAAAGCCCATCTGTAGAAATCCACTTGTGTGTATTTAGTGCATTGACTCATTAATGACTGTCCTGGCCCAAGGTGCCCTTGGCTTGGGTGTATGCTATGGTCAACCACTATGTCCACCAATTAGCTTTCACAAGGACAGATTGGCATCAAAGCTCTATAACCCCAACTGACCAGATTTTACGTCTAGGTACGGGCCATCTGACCAGATCAAATGTTGAGGGAGGCACCGGTTAGGTCAAGCCTCTGGTTTAGGCTATATCGAATTAAGGTTTCGGTCAGGGACATGGCAATGACATGAGATTATTTGTCTGTTGACCAGAATCTTACCTCCCAGGAAATGGGGCGGGCTATTTTTTACAAGCAAGAGAGATGTTGCTATGTAATCTATATGAAATGGGAGTTTAAACATACAATTCCCTGGATTGGATTCAATCCTATGGCTTTCTGCCAAAAACCTAATCAAAGGCTGTTTATGAACATGTCAATGTATTCGACTGTCAGGGTAAATTATGTTCTCAGACTAGGTGTCACGGTTTCGGCCGAGGCTGCCTCTCTTCCTTGCTCGGGCAGGCTTCGGCGTTCGTCATCTCCGGAATACTAGCTGCCACCGTTGCATGTTTCTATGTTCGTTTGCTTTTGTCTGATTGTTGTTACACCTGTTATCGTTTAGTGTCATTAGTGTCCTATAAGTTCTCGTTGTGTTTGTCAAGTGTTGTGTGTGATTGTTTTACTGTCGTGCGGTTGGCTAGTAATTCTACTGTTTGCTCGGTTGAGCTATTCTCCATAGTGTTTGGAGTGTTTTGTCGCACCTGTTTAGTGCGCCCGTTTGTTTTCGCCTACGTGCGGAGTTCTCGCCTCAGGGCATTTTTTCGTGCTTGTGTTTTGTGCATCTACTAAAGTCTTTTGGACTAACGTTCTGCGTCCTGCGCCTGATTCCACCACCACACCCACCTACAGCTACACTGACAGAATCACACACCCGCTCGAATGGAATCAGCAGGAGCCGCAGCCGCACAGGAGACGTTGGAGGACAGAGTCCGGGAGCAGAATGACCAGATCCTGCGGATGGGGTCCGCCCTGCAGGAGGTGATCACCACCCTCCAACGCTGGGAGACCCGAGGGACACCCCCAACGCCATCTTCCCTGCCCTCACCATCGGCGAGTCAGCCCCTTCCCGCTCCGGAACCCAGAGGAGTTCGACTCTCGCTCCCGAGGGCCTACGATGGGACCGCTGCCGGGTGTCAGGGCTTCCTTCTCCAGGTGGAGCTTTACCTGGCCACCGTGCACCCGGCGCCCTCGGGACACGAGAGCGTGTCCGCCCTGATCTCCTGCCTTTCCGGCAAAGCGTTAGAGTGGGCCAACGCTGAGTGGAGGAGAATAGACGCTACTACCATCACGTACGCCGAGTTCTCCCGCCGCTTCAGGGCGGTGTTTGACCATCCCCCGGAGGGGAAAGCGGCGGGGGAGCGTCTGTTCTGCCTCCGGCAGGGGAGGAGGAGTGCCCAGGAGTTCGCATTGGAATTCCGGACTCTAGCGGCGGATGCAGGGTGGAATGAGTGGGCCCTCATTGATCACTACCGCTGTAGTCTACGTGAGGACGTCCGTAGGGAGCTGGCCTGTCGGGACACCAGCCTCTCGTTCGACCAGTTAGTCGACATGTCCATCAGGCTGGATACCCTGCTAGCTACCCGCGGACGTCCCGAGGGGGGTCCGTCCATTTCACCCTCCAGCGCCTCCGAGCCGTGCCCCATGGAGCTCGGGGGCGCTGGCGCTAGAGAGAGGAGGGGTCGGAGTACGAGGGGGTCCATCTCCTGCACCAACTGTGGTCGGGGAGGACACACCGCGGCTAGGTGCTGGGGATGGCCTCCTCGGGGAGAAGACGACAGGCCCCGCACTGGGGAGCCCTTCCAGGTGAGTAGGCGCCCCACTCACCCAGAGCTCTCTGTTGCACACTTCTGTATACCTGTGTGTTTTCCACAGGTCGCACCTCATTCCCAGCATAAGGCGCTGGTAGATTCAGGCGCGGCTGGGAATTTTTTTGATAAGAGATTTTGTTTAGCCTTAGGGATTCCCCTTCTCCCTGTTGACGTCCCCTTCCCCGTTCATGCCCTAGATAGCCGTCCGTTGGGTGCGGGCTTGATCAGGGAGGTCACGGCGCCACTTAGGATGTGTACGCAGGGGGGTCATCAGGAGATGATCCAGCTATTTCTGATCGACTCGCCTGCGTATCCGGTGGTGCTGGGCATGCCCTGGTTGAGTACCCATAACCCGTCTATTTCGTGGCAGGAGAGGGCTCTGCTGGAGTGGTCTGCCCAGTGTGTGGGTCGATGTTTAGGCGTTTCCGTAGGGGCTACCTCGGTGGAGAGTCCAAACCAGGTGCCCGCATTGCACGTTCCCCCTGAGTATGGGGATTTGGCTATTGTGTTCAGTAAGTCGAGGGCGACGCAGTTGCCTCCCCATAGGCAGGGAGATTGTGCGATAGACCTCCAGGCAGGAGCTGCGCTCCCACGGAGCCATGTGTATCCTCTGTCTCAGGAGGAGAAGAGAGCTATGGAGACTTACATAGACGAATCTCTGAGACAAGGATACATACGGCCCTCCACTTCCCCTGCGTCCTCGAGTTTCTTTTTTGTGAAGAAAAAGGATGGTGGGTTACGCCCGTGCATTGATTACCGTGGTCTCAATCAGATCACGGTGAAGTACAGTTATCCACTCCCGCTGATTGCGACCATGACGGAGTCATTGCACGGGGCGCATTTCTTCACTAAATTAGATCTCAGGAGCGCGTACAACTTGGTGCGCATTAGGGGGGGCGATGAATGGAAGACAGCCTTTAGTACCACCTCGGGCCATTACGAGTATGTTGTCATGCCATACGGGTTGATGAACGCTCCTTCAGTTTTCCAATCATTCGTGGATGAGATCTTCAGGGACATGCAGGGGCAGGGGGTGGTCGTGTACATAGATGACATTCTCGTGTACTCGCCTACCCGAGTCGAGCATGTGGCCCTGGTGCGCCGAGTGTTGCGGAGGCTGTTGGAGCACGACCTGTATGTCAAGGCAGAGAAGTGTCTGTTTTTCCAGGAGTGGGTCTCCTTTTTGGGTTATCAGTTGTCTGCGTCAGGGGTGAAGATGGAGGTAGACCGGGTGTCAGCCGTGCGTAATTGGCAAACGCCAACCACTGTGAAGGAGGTGCAGCAGTTTTTGGGGTTTGCGAATTACTACCGGAGGTTTATCCGGGGTTTTGGACAGGTGGCAGCTCCCATAACGTCTCTTTTGAAGGGGGGTCCGGTGCGTCTGCAGTGGTCAGCCGAGGCGGACAGGGCGTTTGGGAGGCTGAAGGACCTGTTTACCTCGGCCCCGGTGCTGGCGCATCCGGATCCCTCTTTACCATTTCAGGTAGAGGTGGACGCGTCAGAGGCCGGTATAGGAGCCGTGCTGTCGCAACGGTCCGGCGCGCCACCTAAACTCCGCCCCTGTG